TAAGGTTTCCTAAAAAATAAAGTTATTGGGATGTGGTAGTTTAATGGCCAAGTATATGGTGCAATTGTGGGCTAAAACAGCAGGGCTATTATATTGGCAACACGGTGATTGCTCCACATTTAGAACCTCAATATTACTCTTTATAAACCCCACCAATATCACAAATAAACATATTGCTACCTGAAAACTCAACAGCCATGAAGGCTTTTAGGTTCTCCGTATACAAACACAAGCTTCTCTGGGACCAACGCTGCAGGATCTATTAACATGAGACATTCATAGAATATATGCTCTCACGTAAGGAGATCCAAGACCTGCCCAACCTGTGATATTTTATATTCTATATATATGTGCCCGATTTGATTGGAAAGTGTAAGCATTGCCTGCCCCCTTGTGGTGCCAGGATGTATTGTAGTGTATGCACAGATTAATGGTCCTTTCAGACTTCAACTTAACCTATCTGTAATGTTGTTGGTCACAAATTCTAGATGGCAGTAATAAAAAAAATGGATATTCACATCCAACCATAAAATATTGGAACCTCAATTCCATTCTAGTCAGCCATTTACACATCCTTGCCACTGTTGATTAAAAAGGCAAAAATCAAACAAAGAAAAAAAGCGCAGTATTTTCAAAAATTGCCTCAAAAAGTAGCAATCCGGTGTATCCATGGATCGTCTTTACCTTTTCCTTCTTCCATTAAACACCAAAGGCCCATGTTCATGGGCAATGCCTGTTGTAGATTTTCCAATTTCCCTGTTTTAATGTCCACAAACTGTTTGGGAGGTAAGATAGTGCTGAACATGATTTGTATGTTTGTTTTACAGGACTGGATAAAGAATGGCCCACCAAAAGTGTTCTGGGTTTCTGGATTTTATTTCACTCAGTCATTCCTAACGGGCGTCTCGCAGAATTATGCCAGAAAATATACAATCCCAATCGATTATATTGGATTTCAGTTTGAAGTAAGGATCACGCTCTATTGCTTTTTTCATTTTTAGTAACACACAATCTTAATAAAATTGCAGTTTGCTTGCCATAAAAAAAAAAAACTGGTACAGGAAAAAATTGGTTTTCATAGTAATTGCTCCATATTACATAAATATATTTTATTGTTACAAATGTCATTACATTTCTTCCTGTGGTATTATGTCATGAATTATGCATACCTTGTCCTCTGTAGCTACAGTAATGTTCTACAGTTCTAGCCATGTTCTATACCTATAGTAAATTTCTAATGTTCTAGCAGTGTTCTTTCACTATAGCAGGGTTCTATAGTTCTAGAGTTGTTCTATGGTTATGGTAGTGTCATATAGTTCTAGTGTTGTTCTCTATTTATAATATATAAAATAAGATGTTCTAACCTTGATCTATAGTTATAGCTGTGTTAGAACACTGCTATAGCCATAGAAGGCCATTAAAACATTATCAAGTTCTAGTGATGTTCTCTAGATGTGCTTAAGATTGAAGAGCACACTGCTTGAAAACCAATTGCAGTTAATATAGTGCTCAAAATTAATATGAAAAGCTGTTTTGTGATCTAAACACAATACTATTTAAACCTACAGCCGAAAGTTTAGCTTCTGAGAACCCAGGGCTTGACAATACTGGGGGCTACATCCAATTTATCTAAGCATCCCCTCTAATCATGCCTTGCAGCAGGCAGCATGTGGTTAAAGAGCCAATGGTACTACCCGTTATAACAAAGAAAGCAGTAATACTGTTATAGCATGCATCCCCGTATGGCACTGATTAATAATAAATGTGGGATATAATGCCTTATTCTGGCATTCTCAATTATCCCAGCACTATGGGAGTAAATGTAATGTTTTGGACAGGAGAAGCACAGACCTCAGAAAACAACCAGAGATATGCAGACGGTACAGAGTTTCTTGTGTTCTGGGACCTGGTCACAGCTGTATCCCATTCAGAATATCTGGTTACAGTTTGGACTTGTAGATCACTAAAGGACCACTCCAAGGCTGAAATTTACAAATTGTTTTATATTTATTTGTATAGATAATACAATTAAATATACAAAACCAATCAATCTAAAATAAGTATAGAAAAGAGACCTATTTTGCCTTGTTTTTCCAAATTCCCTCAACTGACATCATCACCCTCAAGCTCTTCTCACTCAACAAAGTGGTTTGGCCAATCAAGAGCTACTCAATCTTGTCTATGGAGTCAGAAATATTGGACATGTTTAACTCAGCACTGCAAGGCTTAAAGTGTAGGCTAGAGGGGCTGATTAAATTAGATATGAAAACTCTCTGTTCTCAGAACAGGGCTTTCTGGGACTTGTAGTTCAGTTACTTCCATGTCTGAAAGCTGCTAGCTAAACCACAATTCCCAGAAGTGTGCTGTGCTCCCTGTTGACATATACAGTATGATTAGACACTCTAGCTTATTGGGGAGTTGTACACAGGTACAGGAGTGAGAATGAAAGATGCAGTTTAGAATAGAGGAGGTGGGAAGGAGGAGGCAGAGTTAAGATGCCAAATGCTGTAAAACCTTATTTTCCCCCTGCATAAACTATACACAATTTGGCATGCAAAAAGCCAATTACATATGCTGAAAGCTATTAAATGTCCCTGGAGTGATCCTTTAAAGCAGGAGTGGGCAAACAGTAGATCTTCAATGGCAACATTTACGCTCTGCAATTCTAAAAGCTGGCAAAGCATCTGGGGATCTACGGTTTGCCCACCCCTGCTTTAAAATGTATCTATTTGGGTCTTAACTATGATTTGCAGTTCCTTAAACAAGCCATTTGAAACCCAGTATGTATCAGAACTCCTGCATTGTGTATCTTCTGCTTACAGGTGACAATGCATGAACACAATATTGATGAGGCTCCGGAAGACGGAGCTTATATTAAAGGCCTCTTTTTGGAAGGAGCACGGTGGGACAGACAAACAATGAAAATCGGAGAATCTCTTCCCAAAATACTGTATGATACTCTGCCTATTATTTGGCTGAAACCAGGTGAAAGTTCAAAGTTTGTCCATGAAAATAGCTACCTATGCCCGGTGTATAAAACCAGTGCGAGACGGGGGACATTGTCAACAACAGGACACTCTACCAACTATGTCCTCCCCGTGGAACTTCCTTCAGACAAGCCTGAGAAACACTGGATAAACCGGGGAGTTGCTGCACTGTGCCAACTTGATGATTAAATTTATGCTTTGGTAAACAAGCACGGCACCTCCAAATGTTGACTTGCTTTATCGGTTAATTACTATGCATATATTATTTTAAATGCTCAAGACCAAACAGGGCAATCTTGCTTTCAACATGTGCCTTAATTTCTATATATTTTGTTCTAACCAGAGCAATTAATGGATGAGATCACTTTCAAAGCAACAGATTGTTTAATATGTACACCATTGTAGCAGTTACAGTGACTGAAAAGGAGTATAAATTGGGTATCGTTAGTAATTTTCTCCTATTGTAAAAAAACGCAGGTAAAGTTTTCCTTTAATCTAAAGAGATAATTTGTGTCTCTTCACTAAATTACCAACTCATTAGAAACACAGATTATTCACATGAATCTGCGCTTTTTTCTTGCAGATGGCAACTTATAAAATACAGTTTGTTAACCGTTTTAACCAATTTACTACCAGTTATGTTTATTTTTTAGTTTTCAGAATCTTTCTGTATTGCAAAACAAAGGTTATAATATTATATTTCGAACATTTGACAGCTTTCAATATATATCGGAAATGAATGCACAAATAAAAAATAACAGTTCTGCAAATGTACATTGTCATGGACCACTACTCAAAGCGTGCCTGCGACTCCATTCTGGGGGTGAAAGGGGTTAAAAATTGTTGTTTTTTTTAAATCTCACTTTACTCTAGAATCAAAAGCTGCCACCACCAAGGCTATTTATAAATAGAGTGCATTAGGTTGCTCCAAGCAAGTAAGAAAAAAAAGAAAAATGGCAACTCACTCAAATTAGCTTTAACTCACAAAAAGCACACTGTTCATTTGCGGTTATAGCTTTTATACACTCTGTGTCCATCTTGAGTTTTGACGCCGGCCCCAAATACATGGCCGATGGTAGGCATAACTGTAGAAATTCTATCTTGATTACACTTCCCTCTCGCCAATTTAAGCACCAATCTATGTAAAAGAGTTTATTAAAAAAAATTGTTTTTTGGGGGGATATGATTCTTAGCACAAAATTGTCTTCTGAATTGTCAATAAGCATATCAAAAGATCAGAGACCTATGTTGTAACAGACGACTAACAGGCACGTGGTCACAAAGTCTGGAGAAAAGTACACATGAATGTTCTTTGGGTGCAAAGTTTCATATCTGGTCAGAAGGACACAGCTGGATGCCTGGTCTCAAAGGAAGAATCTAATTTGCTAATCCGATCCTATGATTTGACACATAGCATATTCCTTTTAAAGGCTAATTAACCTGATATCAGTCATGACACTACACACACAATATTTGTACAGCAAAACAATTACTCATGCATGCTGGGCATGATATACATCATTTTAATCTTTGTGGTATCCTTGAATAGCACACTATTCATGTATTATGTTCACTGTATATCTAATGATTCCTAGGTTCTTAAATAACTTGATCAGACTGAAATAATAAAGACTTGTGAGTGTGGACGTTAAAGGAACCACTCCCTGCACCATAACATGAACACAACATAATTACATTGCTTTGGTTGCAGGATGTCCCTGGTGCATCCTTACCATTAGGGGTTAATCCTAAAGTCTGTGCTCCAAAGCCAGTTTGCGCTGCTCTCCTGTGTTTCTACTTTCTTGGCAACATCGGGCAGGGGCACCGCTGATCGGCTTTAAGTGGTCAGCTTATAGTAGCTCCCCATTTATAAAACCAGACTTAAAAAGGTACTGCAGCATCATGAAATGTCTTGAGTTCTGGGGTGGCTAATGTCAATTCTGTGCAAATTGTTTTGCACAGTGCCCCATTCATTAGCTGAGAGTGGTTAGCTGATGCTCTCAGCTATTGAATGGCAACTGCATCAGCATCTCTGCAGAAGCCAGAAACTTGTCACCAACGATGAGAGATGACGAGAAGCCCAGAGAGTATCCAGGTGAGGGTTAAAACCTTTACTAAACGGTTTAATAAATCAAGAATTGTTTGTCAAGCTAGCAGCATGTACATAATTTAAAAGAACATTCTAGTCACCAGACCCACTACAGCTTAAAAGGACACTCCAGGCACCCAGACCACTTCTGCCCATTGGAGTGGTTTTGGGTGCCAACTCCCACTACTCTTAACCCTGCAAGTGTAATTATTGCAGTTTTTTCGAAACTGCAATAATGACCTTGCAGGTTTAACTCCACCTCTAGTGGTTGTCTAGTAGACAGCCACTAGAGGGCACTTCCTGGTTTCTAGCACAGGAAAACTGTGCTAGAGCGTCGCTGGACGTCCTCACGCTATGTGAGGACCTCCAGCGTCGCTCATTTCCCCATAGGAAAGCATTGAAATGTATTTTCAATGCTTTCCTATGGGGAGCTCTAATGCGCATGCACAGCATTGCTGCCCATGTGCATTAGGTCTCCCCGGCCGGTGGGCGGGATCAGTCTCGCCCACCGGCAGACGCAATGCAGAGGAGGAGCAGCGACGAGGGACAAACGTCGCTGCCTCAGGTAAGTTACGGAAGAGGTTTTCACCCCTTCAGCAACCGGGGATTGGGGGGTGGGAGGGAGAGGGAACCTGCAAAACTCCCTCGAATCCTATACTTGTTCCAGGCGATCCAGATCGGTCTTCCACTCACCTTCTTCCGATCACTTGGCCTTGATAAAATTTATATGGAAAGGACGCAGACCACATATATGACTAGGACATCTGACGAGACCAAAAGGGGGACTTGGTCTACTAGACATACTAGGTTATTATACAGCAACACATCTATCGAGAATTGTAGCCTGGCATGATGACTGCACACAGAGGATCTGGACAACATTGGAGAGGGAGATTTTGGGTGGGTGTATCCTGGTAGCAGTGTGGCTGCCCGACGACACGGACAAAAGTTAACTCTTGAACAACCCTTTATTGGGGAGCCCCTGAAAGTTTGGTACCATACCCGTTTTCAGTTCTCCCTCACAACACTAAACGGCCCAATGTATCCTGCCACAGGCAACCCAACGTTCCCGCCTGGACAAGAAATATGGACACTGGAGCTTCTAGTGAGGGGCCAACATATACATCTCTCTGGGCTCTGCAGAGGAGGTGCTCTTATACCTCTGCAGGAACTCCTGCAAGACCGTGAACCCACTATGATTGAGCGCTTCTGCTACCACCAACTGACCCACTTTCAAGAGTCGGTGGTTCGTCATTTACAACTTACGAGACCATTGCTCCCTTTTGAGGACATATGCTCGAAAGGTGAGGGACTCCACCGTAGTATATCAATCCTCTACACCAGTGGTAGTCAACCTTTTTCTACCTACCGCCCACTAATGCATCTTTCTTGATGGAAAAATTCCTTGCCGCCCACCAGTTTTCGCGCAAGTGCAGAATATTTTTTAGAAAGGAGGGTGTTTTAAAATAAATAAATGTACATACATTTATCTTTTTATTTATACTTTATGCATGTTTATAATGTTTTTAACTTTAAAGTTTAATGAGAAAACAAAGTAAATTGAAATTACCTTTACTAGGGATTAATGAGATCCTTGAGGTTGATGCTGCAAGACTAAATATTTGATATCTGGCTCGATTTTTTTTAAGGAACAAACAAAGGTCTCCTCTTTCAGACGACTTCTCTGTTTGCTCATAATATGATTTCTCATCTGTGCATCAGCTCCCCTCCTCAATTCCCCTCCTCACCTTTTTCTTTTCTTCCTTTTTTCAATTTTTTTAACCTTCCTCATAGCAATGCCCAGTAGGAAGGCTGAGCTAGACAGCCCACTTACTATTATTAGCCAACAACAATTCTCTCCTTTTCCTTTTTATTTTCATTCTTTCTCCTTTTTTACAAGTACTCTGAGCCTTCTTTCTCCTTTTTACAAATACTCTGCTCCTTTTGTCTTCTATTCTGCAAGTACTCTGCTCACAGACAAAAAAAAAAACCACACAGACACACATATACTTACAGACACATACACATTTATATTAAATGTCCACCCAACCTCCCTGTCCCTGGGGTCCAGTGGGGCTTCACTTCAGCGGGCAGCAGAGTTCAAATCCGAGGGGGCTCTAACCTCGCTGCTCTGCTCCCTCGCGGGCTGTCTACTGATGCCAGGAGCTGGAATATGACGTCATATTCCGGCTCCCGCAGCATCAGAAAACATTGCGCGAGGGAGCAGAGCAGAGAGGTTACAGCTCCCTCGCCGCGTCTGATCTAACCAGTGCCGCACGCCATGCCGGGTGGTCCAGAAGGTGGTCTGGCAGGAGGGAGCGCTTCCCTCCTGCCGATCACTGAAATCTTGCACCCGCATAGCCACTCCCGCCCGTCCAAAAGGAGAAATCCTCTAAAAAACAAAATGTTTTTAAATATTTAGCCGCTGAAATCCCTACCGCCCACCTGAATTCCTGAAATGCCAACTAGTGGGCGGTAGGGACTAGGTTGACAACCCATGCTCTACACACTCCTGCAGCTGGCAGACACAACTCCCTCAATGAAGTTCAAGGCACTGTGGGAAGAGGCATTACATACCTCTTTCACTCCTTCAGAGTGGGACAAAATGGCCATGAGCATGGTCCTCAACTCGTGATGTGCCAAATACCAGGAAATTAACTATAAAATACTTACTCGGTGGTATGACACACCACAGAAGATTCATAAATATCTACCTGAAGCCTCAGGGATCTGTTCGAGGTGCGGGGAGGGGATGGGAACTCTTCTCCACATTATCTGGTCCTGTCCACTCATAACACCATACTGGGAACAAATGTACGAGGCGATGCGGAAAGTGGCAGGTGACCCGGCAGATATCTTACTCAACAGATTGGGTCTACCCATATTGACATATGAGAAAACAGTATCTTGTCACCAAACGGCAGCTAAATCGCTGATTCCAGTTCTGTGGAGGCAGAGAGAACCATCGACGTTCCAGGCATGTCTTCAAAGAGTGGAGGAGATCAGGCAGGTGAAAGCAGAAATAGCAGCAGTGAGTGGAAGGATGGAGAAACACAAGGAGATCTGGAGGACATGGACATATTACCTTTCGCTCTTCCTTCGTGCGCCTAGATTACAAGAGGCGTGGTCAATACACCTCTGACTCTCATTCGGGACAACACCCTACACTACCACCATACTACACCCATGCAGGATGGATATAATCCCATGCCACCTCCTAGAGGTATAATCCAAACGAAAGACAACATGGGGAGACAACAGGAGAGACTTAGCTGATAGGGACGGACTACTCCCATGACCCACGCAACACCGGGAATCCCAGCAAATGAAACAAACATACACAGGGAAATGGCATGGGGAACCCTAAGATGAAGGGAATGGGCACCTTGGCAGTAAAGTGGAATTTTAATACCTCTATAATTTAACTACCTTCCAAAGGCAGACCAGTGGGCCTCAGAGAACAGGATAATTGGAGGTCATGTGAAAGATGATCTTTCACTGACCAAAGAATTTACCCTGTGACTCAAAAACCATTATGTACATTCTGCAAGGTGTAAGCTGCTTGAAGGATGTACTTATTTGACTTTATGTAGCAAACCTTGTTGTCTAAATGCTTCTCTTTTATTTCTGTATCTCTAATTATACTTGAAAAGACGAACCAATAAACAAAGATTGACAAAACAACTACCGCTTACACTAGTGTATTAGGTACACAGAGACTGTCCCTGCAGTGCAAACACTTGCCCTAGAAATGTAATGATAATGCAGATCTACAAGGAGATGTTGATTGGCATAACATCAAGGTTTCTGTAGGTGCCCAATAGCGCCCCCTCCATGCATCCCTATGGTGAAGCATTGGATTAACTGATATCAGTAATAATGATCTTGGCCAGTGAAAGAGCAGCTCAGGACTAAAGGTAAGGTTTAAACTGATTCATTTTTCTATTGCAGAGGATTAAAACTGGATAGTCATTAATAGTAGCTCACAGTTTCTTAACTCTTCCCTTTTTTCTCACCCATAGCCCCGATATTTAATTTGTGCAATAAGCATCCAAAGTTCCACTGCTGATATTTTTTAGGCTTCATACCTAGCGGTTCTAACGGCAGGATTCCCACAGTTTTTTTTTATATGCCCTTCCCATATCAATGATCATCTCCCTTTTTAGTTGTCAACATGATTATTCTTGTTTGCAATCTGGGTTATAAACTTACACCCTTCTGTTACACCAGTCCCGAACTCATGAAAAGCTGTACCACTCTGTATTATTTGTCCATCCATATAAACTTATGAAAGACTGTAAATTACTTTAAATTACTCCTGCAGGATCAGACTGATGTACCAATGCCCTGAGGTTAGCGAAACTGCAAGAGTTATATGCGTTAATAAAATGCGGTGTCGGAGGACACGGTTCAGACAGAGCTATAACAGTGCAGTGAATGCTATTTATGTATGCTACCATCCACACTGGAAAGAATTCACACTAATAATGTTAAATTTCACACTATCATCAGTTGACACACTCCATCAATAAATTTCAGCCAAATAGAAAGTAAATTGATACATGTAATGTACAGGAGGACTTCTGCTTTAGGTATATCGGAAGAGGGGGCTCGTCTGGAGGTAACTGGAGGACCCAAGTAAGAGTCAAATAATAGAAACCACAGTGCAATACTGTAATGCAATAAAAGCACTGCTTTATTGAAATACACTTATGAAATGTAAGGTAGAAAAAAGCCCATCAACATATACCTGGAGGATCCAATAGTAAGTGGAGACGCCAGATATCAATCACTCCCATTAAGGACAATATGAGATATTCCTAAATATACCTTATAGTTACAGAGTAAAAATCAAGCAACATAACGATCAATTAGTGAAACAGATTTTAATAGAAATTTAAATAAAAGGGATTTCAATTCGAAACCTGATTGTGTCCTAACAAATATAAGCTACGTCTCCAATGAATGATCATTTCCCAAAGAAAGACGTTTTAAGATTTATCCTGACGAAAGTTCCGACTGGGAACTGAAACGTTGTTTCACTGTGGCATTATGCTGAATAGAAGCTAAGTTGATACTTTTTTCATCTTACTAATAAGTCCTTGGAGTCCTATCTGTCTATAGATTGTTGTAATTTTGCTGACCAGCACCGGGCTAATTTTATTGCTTATACTGGAGTGCAAGCATTGGATATTTTATAATATATATATATATTTTTTTTTTTTACATTTAACCTAGAATATACCTTAGGTACATAAACACAGGGTAAAATGTTATGGCTAAACCTGTCAAGTTTTTTTCAGGACCTATAGTGAGGGAGGACAAACTCCAGCCTATTTGTTTGTCATTTCTAATCGAGTCCAGATCAGCAATGCTTATTCCAGAAACCCTGATTTAGCACTTTAACATAGTAATCAAAATACTGATGTTTGCATGTGCACTTGAAAGAGTGATCTATTAATCTTTAGTGAACTGGGTGTTAATTGGAAATGCTTTTTTAATTAATTATACAAATTAAGCCCAGCGTACCAGAATTTTCCATTAGCTCTGTGGAGCTAACTAGAAGTGTACCTAGGACACATGGCAGAAATGTTTATTTGGGTCTCCCTCTGCACCACAGCCAGCCTCCCCCTTTTTCATTTTTTGTTTTTAGAAATGAAACTAGGGATAGGCTACTTTTGGTCCTGCACTTCTAGATGATAAATCAATAACAAATACATGTGTTCTTTGTGTACTTTTAGTGTCCACTATAAACATAGCATTGGGTAAAATACACACAAGCTGGACTTCATGCGGCAAAACCCCCTATTATATTTTTATTTGCAGTAAATAGAGAACTATTTCTAGGAGATTTCATCATGTGATTTTAGGTAGACTGGTTTGGCTTGCTTTCTTAACTTTTCTTGGGTCCGCATGCCTTTACTGTGAGGTATGGCAAGTCCCATAGGAGGCAGATGTGTCTGAAATCACAATAATATATCATTAGCTTTAAAGGCACCATGCAGGCACTGTAACCACTTCAGCTCATAGCAGTGGTTAGAGTCATTTTGAACATTTCTTTAAAGTAAAACCATATTTAATGTTTCAATGATAAAAGAGAGTCGCCCGCAGACCATCCTATCTGTGCTGTTTGGGTTAAGGAGGCAGCATTGGCCTGAGTAGCAATGGTTAGTAATGATAGGCTGAGTGTAAGCCGACTGCTTTCAGCCTATCACAGCGCCCATTGCTGGTGTGGATCAATATGTGTAGAAGGAAAAAAAAAGAAAAAGGATACCTCAGGGGGCTAAAGAGAGGACGGAGACAGCGAGTGCCGACAGCACATGAGTATCCATTCCCTAGAAGTCCCTCAAGGATTTACCCACATCTAGAGTGGCAACTCAAAGGGCAAAATAAAATAGAAGTATTAAAATCTCTTTATTCAGTACTGTATTGTACTGCACAAAACATGTAAACTCAACAGACAAAAAACATAAAAGGTGAAAAAGGGAAAAAATTCAAGCGTGCTGGTGACTTAAAGGGAAACTCCAGGGCCAGGAAAACAATCCGTATTTCAATGCTTTCCTATGGGGAAATGAGCGACGCTGGAGGTCCTCACATAGCGTGAGGACGTCCAGCGACGCTCTAGCACAGGTTTCCTGTGCTATAAACCAGGAAGTGCCCTCTAGTGGCTGTCTAGTAGACAGCCACTACAGGTGGAGTTAACCCTGCAAGGTAATTATTGCAGTTTATAAAAAAAAACTGCAATAATTACACTTGCAGGGTTAAGGGTAGTTGGAGTTGGCACCAGGACCACTCCAATGGGCAGAAGTGGTCTGGGTGCCTGGAGTGTCCCTTTAAAAAGGAAAGGATCTATGTAGCCTGTGTGGTATGTTTAGGAATGGCTGTTAATATACTGTTCAAAGAACAGAGTAGGTCATATAGCCATTTAAATAAACCTAATAAAGGTTCTCTAGAAACTGAGATTGGAGAGTAGTTACTAATAGGCATATGTAGCAACAAAGTAACAGGTGGTTGTATCCACACAATTTGAAGTCTCCAATATAGCAGTTAAAGCAGGTATGGGGGTGGGATTACATGAGGTTTGATCGGTGGGGTATTTAGAGTGAAATCCTGAGATGTATAATAGCTTAAGGATAAAGGAAATATGTAGGCCTTATCTTCCCTATGTTATAGGTTAAGAGCTCAGTGCTCAAAAGTTGAGGGATAGAATTTTGCATACAAAATCATGCAACTGTCTATGATTTTTAGGTTGAGTGTGATTCCGTGTTGGAGATAAATATCTGCAGCAAAAAAAAGAGGAGAAAATCTGAGTGGGTATTGCATAAGTATAAATAACCCACTAGGATCAAAGCATACAGTTTCCCCAGTTAGATATTTAAATCCTATATATGGATATCGCAGTTCTAGATTGAGAGTACAATACTCAGATGTTAAGGGATCAAAGTTGTAAACTAGAAAATACCCAACTAATTGGCATCTCTAAATAGGATTGATTCCGTGTGAAAGACAAGTATCTGGGAATCTTAGCAGCAACAGGAAGCTAAAAGGGTACTACATAAATCAAAACGTCCACTTAGGAACAAAGCATGCTGTATCGCTGGTTAGATATCCAAGTCTTAGCTTTAAAGGATCACACTTTACCCTTGATGTTAACAAATATTGTATGACACCCTCTCCGTAGGTAGAACTCCCCCCATCTCAATCATAAAACTGAAAGGATAGATCAGACCCAATACACACCCTCTCTATATTTCTCCTTCATGTCAATTTAACTGACTATAGCACTAAAGTCGAAGTATCCGGCTACATAGAAAACCTAACCAGATTAAAAGTATCAGCATCTAAACTCGACGCACGTTTCAGCACTCCATGGCGCCTTTCGCAAGAGAGGGGGGAGTGCTACCTACGGAGAGGGCGTCATACAATATTTGTTAACGTCAAGGGTAAAGTGTGATACTTTAAAGCTTAGACTTGGATAATGTTTGAATTAAGGTTGAAGTCTCTTTATGTAGTTATTTAACTTTCCAACTAGCGGAAAAAAATGACAATGGAGCTACCTCTTAATGGATATCTGTTTTTTGTCATTTTAACTTTTTGGGAATAAATGGTTAGTATTCAACTTGACCATCATAATAAGTAAAAGGAATGGAAAAGCCTTCAGAACCAAGTGTTTTGTTTTTTTGGAAGTTTATACCATTAATACTTACAGGTCGTGGGTACGGGATTCCGTAGTGTAATCCAATTTCAATCCGTGCTCTGCATTCTTCTATACACTGATTAACGGTGTCTGTAGCAGTGATCTGAAATAGAATATTACAATACATATTAGAGAACTGTTTTCTGAACCAACATCTGTGCTCTGGGTTAATACACACATGTAGGGTCTTACATTAAAGTGAATGGAGATCAAAACAGAGGAGTCGGAAAAATGTAAGTCAGCAATGTCCATATGGAACATAATAGGTAAATGGTAGACCTGACACCAATTAGTGCCATTGTTGTGGTTATTCTTGCAAATGAAACCTACTAATGGAACATTGTTACATTGACAACCAACTACATCACAACTAGGCCCTGGTATAAGTCATCAACCCATTCTTACTTCGGTGGCATTACCAGTAGTAAAATCTATAAAAATTGGTGTGCTTTAGGTGCCGGGGAGTCCTCTAGGTTTTTGACATATAAACATACAGTCTGAAGTTATTGTTTCTTAGATCCTGAGAGACTACAATAAGCAGCAGTGACTACGGCATTTGGAGTTCCCTTTGAAGGAACAAATAAATAAATAAATAAAAAATAGTAGATATACTACCAAGAATATGTTACATAGTTACACAGGCTGAAAGAGACAGGTGTCCATCAAGTTCAACCTTCTTCGCATTTGTTTTTGCTGTCGATCCGAAAGAAGGCAAAAAACCCAGTCTAAAGCACTTTCCAATTTTGCAACAAACTAGGAAAACATTCCTTTTTGACCCCAAAATAGCAGTCAGATCTCTTCTTGAATCAAGAAGCTATTACCCCACAAAGTAGAAATGATATCCCTGAAAATTATGTTTTAGCATGAATGGATCCTGTTGCTGTTTGAACATCTGTATGAATAGATTTCCAGTCAATTGTTTATTTGCCCCGGATATATTTGTATATTGCTATCATATTTCCCATCTGAGGCATTTGCATTTATACCAAAGTTTTAAAGAAACACAGAACCTTGTCCTCCTAAATATAGTAAAATCTTCCTTCTATACAAGCCTGCAGCTGCTGACTCGGCTCCTGATCTTCCAGCTTGGCAGACATCATCAGAAGTGATCACAATGTTTTCACATAGGATTGATTGAGACTGACAAAGAGGCAGATCAGGGGCAGAGCCAGCACAAGCCAAACACAGCCCTGGCCAATAAGCATCTCCTTGTTGAATCAATGCATATCTATAAGGAAAGTTCAGTGTTTCCATGCAGAGGGTGGAGACACTGAACAGCAGTGTGGCACACTGTGCAGCACTGCCACAGAAAGCACCTCTAGCCGCTATATGAGGAGTGGCCAGGGGAGGTATCCCTCTGCCAGGCATCGGCAACCTTTGGCACTCCAGATGTTTTGGACTACACCTCCCATGATGCTTTGCCAGCATTTTGGGTGTAAGAGCATTAAAGGGGATGTAGTCCACGACATCTGGAGTGCCGAAAGTTGCCTATCCCTGCCGTAGGTTGTAATGTAAACTCTGCGTTTTCTCTGAAAATACATTGTTTACTGAAAAAAGCCTGAAGGGAATGATTATAGTTGTTCTAGTGACAATAGTGTCACTTTAAAGATGTAAGTGCATGTGTGTGGCCAGGTAGGGAGATTTTCAAAGGCTTTAGGTGACTTACGGATAATGTATGCAACTAAAATGTAATTTAAAATGAAAATGTATCTTATATTTACACAGAGTGATTTCTAAACACATATATTGCAGTTTAAAGACACTTTGCTGTAAGTATTTGCTTTGGAGCTCTGTTATACACTTAAACACCCCAACAATGTGAAACTCCTAGAAAAGAGGGACAGACAAATTATGGGAGGGCACCACCTCTGTTTGTAGTTTTCTTTTTGTCTGCTTGTGCTATAGCATATTGTATGGACAGTGATTTAGAGTTACTTGAGAATGGATTTGAAACACTAAGGACGAAAGAGCTGGCTGAAAAAAAAACCAAAAAAAAAAACCAAAACATGTACAGTTTAGTTTGAGGTATATATTTTTAATTTCTGTGTTTCAAGACACTTCAAGCTACTTTTTATACTGACAAATCCCTTTAGTCATTAGACTAAACTGTGTTTAATCTTTATTTTGACATTTACTATAGGTAAAAAACACACACACACACACACACACACACCTTTTACCTACATTTGTTTTGCCACCATTGACAGACGCTGTTTCAGCATACTTTTTTAGTAACACTGAGATATTTGGGTCTCACAGTACCACCTAGTGGGAGATTTGTGAATTTAAATTTTTTGAATTTCTATATATAAAAATTATTTTTTTAAATAGTTTCAAAAACTATGAAAAAGATCAAGCTAAAATACCTCTACTATCTCTGATGGTATTGCGGTTGTGCTTATTCTAGGAAATATGACGGAGCTAGATTGAGTTCACTAATTTAAAACAAGCAGAGGAAATTCAATTGTAAAAGAGCAGTTCCATTCTCATCTACTTTAAGTTAGCAGACACAAACTAGAGTTGGGTTTCCATTTATTAAATCAAATATTTATCAATGGTCAGTCCTAAGAAAAGGTAGACGGGATTGTATTACCAGTCCTTGGAGTTGCTGTGCATAACACTAATGTCAGAAATAAAGCAAGAAAAAGAAAATAGCGGGGGCTAAAAAAAATCAAAAGGCAGAATTATGGAAATACAAGCTTATACCCCCCCAAACATTGGACAGTAGGGAAATCATGATAGGAGAGGTGGGGCGACTGTGCTATATGTCACAATGTTTTTTTTTTTTTTTTTACCCCTACGTGTGGAATAAAAGGATTTTTACAGAACAAACAGTGGATTAGTGTGCCTCAAATTCACGAAAAAGGACCACCTTGTGTAGCAGTGATCAGGAGGTGGGGGCCTTCCCTCAACCAGTACACGCCTCTACTTAAAGGGACACCGTAGGCACTGTATCTGCTTCATCTCATTAAACTGGTTATAGTGTCTGGAGTCCCCTGGTACCATCATTTCAGTTTTTAATGTGTTAAAGTTAAACAAGAGTCCCTGGCAGTCCATCCCCTCTGTGCTGCTTTGGCTAATAAGGAAGTATTCACCTGAGCAGCAATGGGCAGCTGTGATTGGCCGAGTATCAGCTGACCGCTTTTAGCCTGTCAGAGCTCCAACTGACGGTATGAATGGGTATGACAACAAGGAAGTGTTATCTTTGCCTTAGCTACACATATAGAAGGGGCTAGACTGTGGGTGACCAGGAACTCTTGTTTTGTAACATGGTGCAACAGTGAATGGAGGGACAGTGCCAGGGCACTCTAGGCACTATAACCAATTCAAACAGATGAAATGGTTATAGTGACTTTAACAATGCCATAATAGGGGAATCCACTTCTATCAGGGGTAGGCAACCTTTGGCCCTCCAGATGTTGTGGACAGGATATAGTATCTGAATAAAATGCCAAGAATGCAAGAACCAAACAAGGGCAGATACTTTAATGAAGTTTGGAGACTTACACCATTACACCCTTAATTGAGGTGTACACCGTGTGGAGGGAATGCTATTTAGAATTTGTAGTCTGCTTGTGTGATGAAAGCTAGACCAGATTCAGAGTAAATGCTGAATGCATAGGATTTCATTACGTAAAGTGCCTAAATGTGGCAATACAGGATGGAGAGTTAAACCATTTCATCAATAAGAGCTTGTATTCAGCGTCACCACATGGTACAATATGAGACTGCACGATCTACTCATCTACAGATTGTTTCATTCACACAGCTCAAAACAATTGATATCAACATTATCCCTGAGACACAGCCTACAAATATCTACAATAAGCATTAACTGGCAAATTATAATGAATCTGAAATAAGTAATTGTGGCAGTAACGGTCAGTATTGATACTAGCTGTTCTTGAAAGGAATGCTCCGATGTGAATTTTGAAACCCATTTGTTTAAAGCATTATACATAAGACATATATAGTGCCAGATTAAGAGCCCAGTGGACCATGTGCTGGGGATTATAATGAGCCTAATAACAGATAGATAAAGCTAAAAGTGCCGTACATTCTAACTGGATCTTCTCGACCTGGGTTTTTTTTATGGTATCCTGCTTAAGATTTAAATATCATGTCTCCCTAAAATCAGTATGTGAAGGGGTGTAACTGCTATATGAGAGTGTTCGTGATGCACCTCACAACTGGGGAGGCAATGCTGTCATAAATGATGCGTTAGCTTGACATCTTTGCAACCTATACTGATGCATGCACGTTGATATTCAGTTGACCACATGTATTTTCCTGCTAAGCTATTTTGGGTACATACAACAAACATAGTTGTTCTGTATTGGCATATGTTCTCTCTGTCAACACACATGCCAATTCCCCATCCTTGGCTACACCCATGCTTCACACTTCATCATCTGATCTGCCAGGTCACCCACTCTCCTTCATTAATTCCAAACTCTGAAGATGTCCTCTTGTCAAGACCTGCGTCAACTCCTCACCTTCCCATTTTACTACCAGACAAAATCGGACTCCTGGTATGCAGGTTGGGGCAGTTGGAAAGTGTGTTTAGCAAAGAGGGTACATGTCACATGACCTGCGGAGAATGTTGGCTATTAGAGAAATAGTAACATTTGCACACTGCACAAAGGATTACATTAACCATTTTATGGTAATCAGACAGCCGGAATGGGGCACGGGCCTGGAGCTTCAGCTCTGCTAATACAGCCCAGTATGGATATCTATAGATTTTTAAATCACATAAATATGTAAAATAGTGTGATGAGGAGACAGGGAAGGGAGATGCAGAAGAAATTGAATGTCCTGCAGGAAATCCACCCCTAGCAACACTAATCTTATTGAAGTGTTTACACTGTTCAGTGTTAAACTGCTTTCATTTCCACCCCTAAATTACAGTCAATAGACCCCTGTGACTCCACCAACACCCTCTCATCCTAGCTCGGCTACTCATTGCTGCTCATACTAATGCAAGAAGCATTTGTTCTAGCAGCAAAGATGAGCTGGGAAGTGAGATGTTCTGAATGCTTCTGTGATTGGAGGAGCATGGCACTTGCCACACAGGAGCTTCTTGTCCCCAATGACTATAGCAGGGATGGAAAACTTACTATTTAATTAAAAAAATTAATGTGTGTGATATTTTCTACACGTGACGCTTGCAACAGTCTGACAACAAATCACACAGGTTACGATGGCAGAACATTTTCTAAGTGTTTGAAGCCCAACTGTTGAAGTGGAGTCCGCGACAAATACCAGTTAGATAAACAGGAAACAACCATGTCACAGCCATTCAAAACGTTCTACGATTTGTTTTCCCATACACCTGAGCACACATTGCTAATAAAAATATTGACCTTCGCTTTAAAGGAATGTTATCCTAAATGAAAAGGTAATAAAGGGAGAATGACAACAAGGGATTCGGCTAGAGGTCTTGAAGTTTTGCATTGATCTTCAAATTAATCAGGTCACCTAAGGCACATAGAGCACACTTAGAAAGTAAATGCGTGCATGTTTTGAAAATTTTTGAACTTTGATTGTGCAGTCCCCCAGCTTGCTGAAGTGCTTCGCGGGTTAACTGAAGGTCAATGTTAACTCAAAAACTGCAGATTTCAAGACAAATCAGCATTTTTATGGAGCCCTTAGTTGCACCTTCCTAGCCGTTAGCAGCCGGAGGGTTCCCTGTCTCATTCTCTTTTAATGATCGTTCAAAGCAGAAGGCATTGGTTCTCATAAAGAAACATCGATACCGAATGTTTCTCTATAAAAAGCATCAGACCGATGGAGCGCGTTGATTACTTCACAGACGCTGCAGGGCCTCAATGCTTCTCTCAATGGGAATCATTGAGTGCACTGAGAGAGATAGGAATAAGAAGAAAAAAAAATGGAGCACCCCCCAAGTATCCCTTGTATCAATTTTGTGTATATAAATAGTGTATGAAAAGGCACTATCACCAAAATGATCCAGACTGCATTCAGGCTTTAGTGAATAACCTTGAAAAAAAATGAATGATGAATTTCAAAAAAAAAAAAAAAAATTATTTTTGAGCTAAAATAGCCAATTCAGAATTCAGTTGGTTTCATTTACTCCTAAAATGCGAAACAAACTTAGTTAAGCATCTAGTTATGTAACAAAAATATTCGAATTCAAGGGAACTATGTAGATTAACTAAGACTGTTTAAGAAATATTTGGATAAAAAGGGACCTTTAAAAGAATAATCACTTAGAAAAGAAACACAAGAAAGTTTTGTGTATATATTCAATGTCATTTTGGAGATAAATTACTTTGTTTATGCAGACGTACCCACAATTTTTCTGGCTGACACACAGCCTCCTTACAAATTTCCTGTAAAAGTGTCTACATTATGTTACCTACCCCTATCAAGCAAGCTGTGTTTGATTTTCATATTCACTGCTGTATTAACAGCCTGCAGGAGTCCAATGTGTGAGATTAAAGCTGAATTAACATAGCAGGAGATACAGACTTCTAAAGTAAACAAACTGTGTTGTTGTCAGATCTGATTGAAAAATAAACCATTTTTTTCATGCAGGCTGAGTGAGCCACAGACAGGGAAGGTGTGACTAGGGCTGCATAAACAGAAACAAAAGTAATCCAACTCCTAAATGGCAGAGAATTGAACGCCAAGACTTCAGGGGCAAGATCTATATACTAAAACTACTTAATTAAGCTAAAGTTGTTTTGGTTCTTAGAGCATTTCTTTACATTTGAAATTATCTTTGCATTCCTGACTATTTACTTTAGTAGATACCACTGTTTGTTTTTTTTCAAATCTGTTCCACAGATGGAATGAATATAGGATTTCTAGATAACAGGGATTTCCTTTGGGCATTAAATGCATTCAGCATTACAAGGCCGATTAGAACAGAAGAATTCTGGGAGTTGCTTATTTCAATCTAGTGAATCAATTCCTGAGTTCTAATTGGCTGCTGCTGTCGGAAGCTCTCAGCTGCCTTTTTTTTCCCATTAGTAACAGTCGGAAAAGACTACTTCAACCGACAAAACTGTCATACTGTTAGAATTTGGTTACATTTAAAGGGTTTCTCCAAGCACCATAACCACTTCAGTGATTTGAACGAATTATGGTGCCTGGAGTCTGCATGTGCAGTGTTTTGCTATGAAATGAGTACAGAGTTTAACCCCTCGGGCTGTGACATTGAGACGCAAATAGCCAGCCTGGAATGATAGTTCCGAGTAGCAGAAATTCTGTGCCTAATTGGCATGTAACCCCCAGCACCCACAGAATGCCGGTGTCACACAGTCGATGGTGGCATGGCCCTCCCTGCACTCTGTCCTCCCCCTATATCCCTCCCCCGACAGCGAGGAGGAGTGATATTAGCAGTGGAGTATCGAGCGGGGCGAAGAACTTAGCCTCATTGCTTGAATAGAGGTAAGTTTATGGGTTTTTTTGTTTGACTGAGGGAAACCAGCACAGCAGGTTACTCTAACCAAAACCGGTGATTTCTTAAAACACTAGTTTTTGGCCGAATTAACCCTTTTATTACTTGTATAACCTTGCCAAAAGAGCCATGTACCCACAACCAAACCTGAGGTGTTGGAAAAAAAGTCTCTGACCTTGATACAAAATTTTTAAAAATACAATTAATGGGCATATGGCAAGTAAATTCCACCAATCATATTAAAGACTTATTTCAGCTTAATTCAATACTGAAACAGGAGGTACTTTTACTTTAAATTAGATTTTATTGGCTGCTATTTATGGAGACCACATGCGTTGCATTGTTGCTTAGAAAAGAAATCTAAGAAAATGATTAAGAATAGGTAAACTAAATGGAAACATTGTTTTTTTTAAATGAACTAAAGTTGAAAAATGTGACCTTCAGCAAAACAGGCAGTGTAAGAAGCAATTCCCTTATAGCCAGAATTCTACGAAATGCTACCTTAGTCTGCTCTGCAAATAATTAAATTAGATTTGAGGGCATCTATGGAGAATGTTCCTTTTTCTAAGACCAAATAACCAATATTGAAATTTAGTTATGCCAGGGCACAACAAATCCCAGGCGCCAGGGATTTGAGCCCATTCCCTCAGAGGCGGGCCTGCCGGCTGCGTGTATTGTATGACTATACTCCGACCCCAGCATCACAAAGCGGGCTGTGAGGGAGCAGAGCAGGAAGATCACAGCTCCCTCGTTGTTCGTCGTACAATACGCCCATCTGGCTGCCGCCTCCCACCGGACCCAGAGAAAGCAGTATTTTGAGAATACGGAAGGATAGAGAGAAAGCTCGAATAAGTTGTTATAGTGCCCAAATTGGTCCTTTAATTACTATTTCAAGATGCACTGTGTCCCTTACATTGAATTAAAACATAATTTGTGAGTGTGTGTCTGTCTGTGAGTGTGTATGTTTAGGTGACCAGCCCCACTCTGAGCGCATAGGAATGGTGTTTTACGCACATTTTCCCCCAGGCTGTGCCAGTCTCCCCATGGCTGGCTCTGGCCCTATGACTGAGATAATCAAGCTTGATGATCTCAGCCAATCCAATGCTTTCCTATAGAAAAGTATTGGGAAGCTATTGCGCATGCGCTGTAAAACGCTGCCCTAATCCGCATCTCTACATAGAGATGCACTAAATCAACGCATCTCTATGGGAAACATTCAGCAGAGCGTCTGCAACACGTAGGAAGTGCCTCTAGTGGCCATCTGAGTGATGACAACTATATGTGTTACTAGGTAGCAAAGTAATCACTGCCATTTCTCTGAAAAGGCAGTGTTTACATTGAAAAGCCTGCAGAGACAGGTTATAGCCACTAGAACCACATTAAGCTCTAGTGGTCCTGGTGACAATAATGACCTCCCCAAAAGAGTTGTATTTTTGTCGTTGAAAATAAAGTTTTGTAAGTTAAAAAAAACAAAAAAAAACTGGCATCTAACGTTTTTTTAGCTGGCTCCTAGATTCCAAGCACATTTGTCAATCCCAGCTTTATGCAGTATACAGTATAGCTAAACATAATGTGAAGAGCTGAATTGTTATCTCTAAATTTAATAGCCATTTGCTCTGGCAGAATCGGGCAGCGGCGCTGCTAATTGGCTGAGAGCAGCCAGCAATCCCAATTCATTAAAATCTGGTTTGATAGGTAATATACTTTTTTCAAGACAGTAATATGGATGGGGAGTCACTGATTTGCTGATAACGTGAGGTGACTGCTCTCATTCAATCAGCGTTGCAGCTGCCCGATTCAGCAAGAGCATTCTGGTTTCCCAATTTTGAGAATACGGAAGGATAGGGAGGAAGCTCAATTAAGTTGTTATGGTGCCCAAACTGGTCCTTTAATTACTATTACAAAATTCACTGTGTCACACTGTCACCGTGACGGTTAAGGCAGGGGATCTCATACTCCCACCACAATTTATAAATGCAATAAATGGTCAGAGACTCATTAGAGTTGTAGTTCAGCAACATCTGTGACACGTTGGAGATGCCTGAGCTAAGGGCACTTAGTTACAGTGCCAAAAGAAGATTTAATGCTGGTCCCCAGAGTTCTTCACCAGGAAAACAGTTAAAAATAAAATTTTCAGGTGACAAGTGTCCCTAATGTGTTACATTTATACAACCCATAAAAAAAAAAAAATATATATATATATATATATATACATATACATTTCAAATGCAGTATGGCTTATCAATGACCTATATTACATACATGTTTATTTTTATTGAACAGACTTCGGGCCTCATCAATAATATATTGTTTTTCTTTGATGGTGTCTTCCTTCAGTCCTGATGCTGACTGCCATTTTTTTGCTATCCTGAATATTTTTCGGTAAAGGCTCAAAACCTCTTGACGTGTTGTTGCACTCATCTACAAAAATAAAGAGAGGTACACATTTAGCTTTATATTTAAAGAAAAACTCTAGGCACCATAACAACTTAATTTGAAGTTGTTTGGTTGCAGGAGGTCCCTGACACTGGATTACCTTTAGGGGTTAAACTGTTAACAAACAATTTAACCCCAAAGTCTTCTCTCTGCCCCCTCCAACACTCGGAATGGCAGAATCGGGCAGCGGCGCTGCTAATTGGCTGAGAGCGACCAGCAATCCCCATTCATAAAACTGGCTTAATAAGAAACATACTTTTTTCAAGACAGTTATATGGATGGGGAGTAACTGATTTGCTGAGAGCGTCAGCGGCGCAGCTGCCCGATTCAGCATTCGCAAGCTGTTGCTGTAAAATAACAACATGCGGTCAAAGGAGCTCTCAATGCAAGTAAAACAGGTCATCAGCCAAGTGAAGAACACTCTCCAGGAAGTAGGCCTATTATTACCAAGTCTACCATAAAGAGAAGATTTAACGAGAGGAAATACAGAGGGCGCACCACAAGGTGCAAACCATTCTTAAGCCTCAGGAATAGAAAGGCCAGATTAGACTTTGACAATAAACATCTAAAAAAAAAAAAGCCAGCCCAGTTCTGGAACAGCATTCTTTGGACAGAGGGTCAGCCTGTACCAGAAAGAAGGAAAAAAAAAAAATAAAAAATAAAAAGTATGGAGAAGGCTTAGAACAGTTCATGATCCAAAGCATTCTACATCATCTGTAAAACATGGTGGAGGCAGTGTGAAGTCATTGGCATGCATGGGTTCCAATGGCACTGGGTCACTAGTGTTTATTGATGATGTGACAGAAGACAGAAGCAGCTGGATGAATTTTGAAGCATATAGAGCAGGGGTTACCAATTATTTTTTCCCGTGGAACCCTTTGACATAGTATACCAACATCGTGGAACCCCTGAAAAACTATTTGCGCCGTAGCACAAACCTTTTAATAAGTGGCTTTTTATTATCATTTTTAAATATTTTGCTCAAACTGTTTAGTCTTAAGATACTCCTGAGGGACACTATAGTCACCAGAACAACTACAACTTATTGAATTTGTTCTGGTGAGTAGAATCATTACCATCAGGCTTTTTGCTGTAACACTGTCTTTTCAGAGAAAATGCAATGTTTACATTACAGCCTAGTGATAACTTCACTGGCCACTCCTCAGATGGCTGTTAGAGATCCTTCCTGGGTCATGGCTGCCTAAAATGCATCCAAATATTCAGCATCTCCTCCCTCTGCATGCAGACACTGAACCTTCCTCATAGAGATACATTGATTCAATTCATCTCTATGAGGAGATGCTGATTGGCCAGGGCTGTGTTTGAATCATGCTGGCTCTGCCCCTGATCTGCCTCTTTGTCAGTCTCAGCCAATCCTAAGGGGAAGCATTGCGATTGGATCAGGCTACCACTTCTGATGATGTCAGCAGACTGCTATATTATATATATTTTTTTTATTATTATTTTTTTATTTATTTTTTAAGGCAAACAGCATACAGATCTACAGCTTCTGGCTTGAATACAGTAAGATTTTGCTATATTTATGGAGGCACGAGGGGCCCAGGGGGGCTGGATGGTGTTTTTAACACTATAGGGTCAGGAATACATGTTAGTGATCCTTTAAAAAAGGCAATGCCTTTGTACTCTGGGTGGTTTTGCTCAAAATGACAACATAATTTAGCAGGTGCTAACGAACTGTTTGACAATATTTTCTTGCAAAGTAAGCATTGTGCTCGAGGAAAATTTTTTATTTCTGGCACTCGTGAATCCAAACGATAAGTAGCGGTCATTATATTTTATTTTATTTGTTTGAGAAGATTGGGTAGCATTCTGTGCTCTTCTTTTTAACGTTGACATTTCACTTGTCTCTGCTATTTGAGAAACAGTAGATTCAACTATTTCTGACCTGGCTTCTCGATTTCTTGTTGTATCTTTCTTCTCAGTTTCTATAAGTGACTTACAGTTAGAGGTAGTGATACTTTTTCTCTTGATAGTTCCTTGTTTTAACCAGATGTCCAAAATTATGGTTGTTGGTTGGTAAAACAAACAAAACACTTCTCTAACCTAAAAAAATAAAAAAATAGAATTTAAAAAAAAATTGATTTCACTACCTGACTGCAATGAATGCTATTTCTTATAAAGCTCTTGCAAAAAACTTAATGTAAGAAGGATTTTGAGTCAGTCTTGGAGCAAAAAGATTAGCACACTTTAAAACAAATCTCACTACCTGACTGCAAATGATGTTTTATAAAGCACTTAGAAATTAACCATAAGTAGGATTTTGAGTTAGTCTTGGAGTGTAAAAATGAAAATCCAGTGCACTCACTTATCTACTAAACAGTTATTTTAGTGCAGAACAATTTTTTTAGTTTTATTAAAAACACCTAATCTAGGCAAAAAAATTATGGGGGTTTAGTTACAGTATATGATCATACATTGCATAAGCCTGCCACAACGTCAATGTACCCCATCTTTGGCAGGTCCTACTCTAACTGCTAAATGAGCTTCTCACTTGGGGAAATCCTTCCATCTTGAGGTCTCTGCAGTACAAGGCTTAAATAGGGTCCTGAGATGAGGTACCTGTAACAGGGAGGGGTGCAAAACCCAAGGAGCTGGAGTCTTGGAGTGTAAAAAAACACTTTAGTACAGATTTCACTACCTGACTGCAAAGCATGCTGTTTTAACAACACTTAGAAATAATAATTATTTTTTTGGTATATCACTGATTTCTACAGATAGTAAGCAGAAAAAAAGTATATGTAAATAAAAGTTTAAGCAACAAAAAATGAGAAGCCCAACCAAAGTTACTTGTTTTCAGATTCAAACTTTGAACACAATCTCTAAAAATAAAATAAACCTATACCCATATGTCACAATGGGCACTATTCTACAGGTAGGTTATCTATAAAGGCAGTAAAAGAAATTCTCTCTCCTGTGGCCAATAATGTGAGCTGAGCGCCTGCCTGAATGTTTCCACTCTCTATCCCTGAGTGGCTATAACGGCACAGTCTTGTGATCTCTTAAGATCGCGGTCGCGCAATCTCTGCTGTTTCCGATATTCCGGTAACAGCAGGGAGCGGTGGCCATCTTGGATGTGGCAATTCAGGACGGAACCCCAATTTTGTTCCAATTTTGAACCCTAGGGTTCCGCAGAACACCAATTGGGAAACACTGGTATAGAGATATATGGTCTGTTCAGATTCAGACAAATTGAGCAAAGATGATTGGATGGAGGTTCGCTTTACAGATGGACAATGACCCAAAACATACTGCAAAAGCAACACCGGAAGTGAAATATTCTGCAAAGGCCAAGTCAATCACCTGTTCTCAACCTGATCAAGCATGCATTTCACTTGTGTTCCAGACTTCAAATAGTCATTGTCTGCAAAGGATTCTCAACAAATGCTTAAAATTTTACATTTTATTTCTGATTCTGCTAATTAGCTCTAATTACATTTGAGTCCCTGAAATAAGGGGACGGTGTATGAAAATGGTTGAAATTCTTACGCTTTCATATGATATTTTTGTTCCACCCATTGAATTAAAGCTGAAACCCTGCACCTCAATTGAATCTCAGTTGTGTTTAATTTTAAATCCATTGTGGTGGCGTACCAATCCAAAATTATGAAAAGTGTGTCAGTGTCCAAATATTTCCAGACCTTCCTGTACGTATTTTTCCTTTATGAATGGGGAGTTACTGATTGGCTTAGAGGAACAGCTGACCAATTTAAGCCAGTCAGTGTCCCTGACCACAGCAGTCCAAGGCTTCTTTTTTGAAGAAAGCAGATGATGGAAGAAGCAGAGCAAAATGGTGAAGGGAGGAGAATTTGGGGTTAAACCATTCGTGATCACTTTAACCCCTGAAGGTAAGCCAGCACCAGGAACCTCCTGGCTACAAGACAACTTAATTTTGATGAAGTTGTTATGGTGCCCGGAACATTTCTTTAACACAAAGACCATTAACAATATTACATTCCATTTATATCTTATTTTTCTGGCCATCCTTTTGCTTTTATCCTGCCTTGTAATCCTGCCCCTCCCCGTGGCCCACTCAACCCAGAATCCAACCAGGACTACTGGAAATTTCTTACATATACCCACGCTCAGTCTACAACACCACAAAATCTATTGTCACTCAAAATCTCATCTTTCGCTTTAGGACTACTTTGTCTCTCTATATTTCCTACATCTGACAATTCTAGATATTGGGCAAGGCTACTGCCTTCTAGAAGTGTCGAAGAACATATTTAGGTAAGATAGACTCACCATTGCCTGCCCCCCGGTGGCGATATCAGCATAAGGTGTCTGCAAAGTCCCCAGACGGTAACAGATCTATCCTATGTCACCCCATGAGATGTCCTCTTGATGCCTTCCCATCTCAGGGAATCCTATCCAATCTCTTTCCCCTAGTCTGGTCCCAACGCATATGTCCCACCTCTACCTACTGGCATCTTCCTCACAAACATGCAATCATCAATCTTATCCTAATAAAAACATTAATTGACCCCACCTCCCTGTGAGTCACAGCCAGCGGAAGTGAAGCTAGGGTAACATAAACAGAAACAAAAGTGATTTAACTCTCAAATGGAGAACTGAGCAGTGAGACAGCAAGCACATGATCTTTAGCTTATAGATGCTCAGAAGCACCCAAGGTGTATAGTTGTGTTGATTCTCTGAGTATCATCTTAAGAGGGTTTGGTGTTCCGAGTAACACTTGAAGGTCAGTTTCAAAATAAATAAATGCCTGTAAAGTGCTGCTTAGTATACTGGCATTGTATAAATACTTATTTAAAAAAGGGTTTAAATATAGTTAATTTTTCTCATATTCATGAACTCCAGGCTGGGAATCGTTTGGTGTTTTAATGGTTTTTATGCAAAAAAAAAAGTCAAAATCATAAAATATTAAATTATTTTTAGAGAGGATAAAAATTAGGGAGCATTGCCTTGATGAAGCCCTCGGGCCCACATTAATATGAAATATAAAAAAAAAGACAAAGGGGTAATATACTGCAGTAAATACTTCTAGTGTGCCAATAAAAAAAAAAAACCAAACAAAAAAACCCCCAGAAATACACTTACAATGTTTGTCGCTATCGGCTAGCTCCAGATATAGCACTTGGGCAGTAAAATTCTCACCTATGGATGAAGGTCTTTAGTCTTGGTTCAATAAGGTACAATTAAGATATGTAAACTTTATTGGAAAAATAGTAAAAAATAAAAAGGCACACGACGCGTTTCACCCAATAATTTAGCATTTTCTATCTGTAAACACCTGAAAAAGTCTAATTTTGGGGGGAAACACATTGTATGCCCTTTTATTGTTTTAATTACTATTTATTTTTTTATTTTTTTAAATAAAATGTACACTTAATTATCACCTTTGGACCTTATTACCCCATCGGTTGGACATCAATTTCCTTGGTGGGGAATATACCGCCCATGCTTTCAGATTGAGCAAAAGCATTTTTTTTGCTCATAACCAAGTGAGTAAGATAAAATAACAAAAGATGTAATCTATCAACACAGTGTACACTATATATTTTATCTTCTGCTTTATGTGCTAAGGTGTGGATTTTACATATACATATGATGCCAAAGTACCAGAGTATTGCAGTATGTAATGATACCTTTTTTTATTGGACTAACATATTTCAAAGACAAGCTTTCGAGAGTTTTCCTCTCCTACTCAAGTCTGAAGCAATAATGATCATATAGAGTTTAACACTTAAAACAACTAATTCTTTCCTCATAGTGAGCCACCAAACAACGCAAATCTTTTAGACTACTCCATAGACATAAATACCTGACCATGTTCCACACACTGGGAGTTCACCTCGGGAAGCAGCCATGAATACTGAGGTCAATCCCACTAGGCCCAGTACCCACTTTGCCCCACCAAAACCAGGCTACAATTGCGTTGTTAGCGACCCCAGAGTGTCAAACAAAATATGTGCAAACTGTAATTTTCCTCTGCCTTATATGTAACATGCTATACTGTTGAAAAATATGCCACGGCCGTTGCTGCAACAAATTTGTATAAGCTCTATATTTTCCACTAAACATAAAGAATAATGAGGGGGAAAAAAAACACTGATGTTAGTGTTAAACTATCAGATTGATCATTATTGCTTCAGACCTGAGGAAGAGAAGAAAACTCTCGAAAGCTTGTCTTTGAAATATTATGGTAGTCCAATAAAAAAAGGTATCATTGCATAATGCAATACTCTGGTATTTTGTCTACTGAACTAATATGGCTAATCCAATCTACACACACACATATATATTGTCATTTTATCCTGAGGAAGGTCCCTGCGTGGACCGAAACGTTGATCTTTTTGCTTAATGGAATAAAGAATTTTCGTGGATAAAGTCCGTGAGTGCAGCCTTTGTATATTTTAATATTTTTGGGAGATATATATATATATATAAAATGAAAGGGAAGACCACACATATATCCAAGAGTGGGGATCATTCCACTCCAAGCCATACATAAGGAGCCATCTTGGAGGTTCCGTCAAATGTGAGTGGGCATTTATATATATTTTATCTACTACTTGAACTCTGACATATTAATAATTTCCAAGTTTTACATAAACTGCACGTGTGTACCGCTCAAAACAGTTAAAGGGACACTATAGGCACCTGAACAACTTTAGCTTAATGAAGCAGTTTTGTTGTATAGAACATGCCCCTGCAGCCTCACTGCTCAATCCTCTGCCATTTAGGAGTTAAATCCCTCTGTTTATGAACCCTAGTCACACCTCCCTGCATGTGACTTGCACAGCCTTCCATAAACACCTTCTGTAAAGAGAGCCCTATTTAGGCTTTCTTTATTGTAAGTCATGTTTAATTAAGATTATTATACCCCTGCTCCTGCAAGAGCCTCCTATATGTGATTAAAGTTCAATTTAGAGATTGAGATACAATTATTTAAGGTAAATTACATCTGTTTGAAAGTGAAACCAGTTTTTTTTTTTTCATGCAGGCTCTGTCAATCATAGCCAGGGGGAGGTGTGGCTAGGGCTGCATAAACAGAAACAAAGTGATTTAACTCCTACATGACAGTGAATTGAGCAGTGAAATTGCAGGGGAATGATCTGTACACTAAAACTGCTTTATTTAGCTAAAGTAATTTAGGTGACTATAGTGTTCCTTTAAGTGATCGTGCAATCGGATGCTCTAATTTATTTTTTTAAACACTCACTATCTAATAATTCCCTGTACAGTATGGACTTCAGGAAGTTGTAGTTATGTTTTTTTTTCCTTTTTACAATTTCCTGAATAATTTGATGTGCTTCCTGCTGTCATAGACCACCTGTGTTCCTGCAGAAACACTGCAGGCTGGGAGGGCCAGAAAGAAATCTATGGCATCATGCACCCAAGTACAAAATAACAGCAAGAATAGGAGTATTTCACAATGGAGCAGAGAACATGAAGAATGCTACAAAACATTTATTTGCAGGAAGAAAAAAAAAAAAATAAGAAAAAAAAAAAAAGGGGTGGGCTCATTATTGAGACCAAAATCTACACAAATATCTAAAATAGTTGTGTTGGTGCCTGCAGTGTCCCTTTAAGGAGTTGCATTACAAAGCATGGCTGCTGTCTGCAGCATTTAATAGATCACACACAGACACAATGACCCTCTGTGTGCCAGTGATAACAATACCCAGCATGGTCCCAGCCATTGTCCTTACCCCAGGGACTCCCCTCCTGCCAGGCTCAGCATACACACACACTTCCAGCTGGCTGCACCACGTGGGTAGGATAACCCCGCCCCTTCCGGCTGAGCGTGCAGGAAAGAGAAGGCTGTTCGTAGAGCGCTAAACACCAGAGACAGAGACCCGTATGTCGTCCCCCTCCCCGGCTGCATTAATGCATTAGCTGACTATTACTACTGCTGGAAACGCGGTTTAATGAGGGTATGCAGCGTCATTGTCTCGAGCCCTGTCTATAACGCCGTTCAGTAGCGAGGTCTTTGACTTGGCCTGTTGCCATGGAGACGGTTTTGCCGCTCCGGTGCTTGGAACGATGGAGAAGCCTGGCCTGCGGCGCAGCGCGTCGAATGATATGCGCCGGGAGAGGGGTGGTCGCGCTTGTAGTGACGTCACAACGGGTGAAGGAGGAGGTGGAGAGGAGGGAGAGGTGCGGACGACGCAGGCAGGCAGACAGCTGACTGGGAGCCCTGGCCCTCCGCCTCTGACAGAATGTGGGAGAGCAGGAAGTGATGCGGGGGCTCCATTCACTGCAGACATGGTGAGCTGGGGGTTGGGGTGACCCGGTATTGGGGGGAGGGAGCTGGGCCCCCCCTTACAGACTGTGAGGACCCCTCTGTTACAGGGTCTGGGGTAGGAGGAGGCCGGCAGGAAGATGGATCTGCTGTGATCCTGTGGCTGGCATAGAGTCCCATTGTACTGCAAGAACTGGGTCCAGTGGCTGGATCTATCATGAACCACTGGCTGGGTCCTACGTGAACCAGTGGCTAGCGCGGAGCTGGGTCCGACGTGAACGAGTGGCTGGCGCGGAGCTGGGTCCGAAGTGAACCAGTGGCTGGCGCGGGGCTGGGCCCGACGTGAACCAGTGGCTGGCGCGGAGCTGGGTCCGACGTGAACCAGTGGCTGACGCGGGGCTGGGTCCGACGTGAACCAGTGGCTAGCGCGGAGCTGGGTCCGACGTGAACCAGTGGCTGGCGCGGAGCTGGGTCCGACAGGAACCAGTGGCTGGCGCGGAGCTGGGTCCGACGTGAACCAGTGGCTGGCGCGGGGCTGGGTCCGACGTGAACCAGTGGCTGGCGCGGAGCTGGGTCCGACAGGAACCAGTGGCTGGCGCGGAGCTGGGTCCGACGTGAACCAGTGGCTGGCGCGGGGCTGGGTCCGACGTGAACCAGTGGCTGGCGCGGGGCTGGGTCCGACAGGAACCAGTGGCTGGCGCGGGGCTGGGTCCGACGTGAACCAGTGGCTGGCGCGGGGCTGGGTCCGACGTGACCCAGTGGCTGGCGCGGGGCTGGGTCCGACGTGACCCAGTGGCTGGCGCGGGGCTGGGTCCGTCGTGACCCAGTGGCTGGCGCGGGGCTGGGTCCGACGTGACCCAGTGGCTGGCGCGGGGCTGGGTCCGTCGTGACCCAGTGGCTGGCGCGGGGCTGGGTCCGTCGTGACCCAGTGGCTGGCGCCGAGCTGGGTCCGTCGTGAACCAGTGGCTGGCGCCGAGCTGGGTCCGTCGTGAACCAGTGGCTGGCGCCGAGCTGGGTCCGTCGTGAACCAGTGGCTGGCGCCGAGCTGGGTCCGACGTGAACCAGTGGCTGGCGCCGAGCTGGGTCCGACGTGATCAGTGGCTGGCGCCGTGTGATCCAGTAGTTGGCAAAAAAAAGCCTTATCTGTAGTTATCCATTGATCGACAAAGAGCCTTATCTGGCTTGATCCAGTGGCCAACACTGAGTGGTGTCTGGCTTTATCCTGTCGCTGACACAGAGCTATAGCTGGAGGAATCCAGTGGCTGGTATTTCTTTGCATCCTCCATTGCATTGCAGAGAGCTGCATCTAGCAATCTACAGTGGCTGCAGAGAATTGGATCTGATGTGATCTGGTAGCTGGGAGATATCTGGAATGGCAGTTTTTTACTTAATCCAACCTTTTTTGATAAAATATGCGCACACATCAAGCCCTGGGGACATTATCATGATCTTGAGATAATTCCCCACAAAGGACCCAAAAAACCTGATCTTTTTTAAAATCAGTAGTTGCTTAAATAAGATTCCAAACCTCCATGTTTTTACAATATTGATGCACCCCATATGTTCCTGCAAAGCTGGAGTGACATGTCATGACATGTTTCCAGCATGGTATATAATATGCAGTTTGACTAAAAAGTGGGTTTCAGTGTTTTGAAATGTTGGCATACAAAGTTTAGTTGGCCCATTTGTTGTCACATTACTTCTAGTTATTGCTATTGATTCACAAGCAATTTAATTTCTGTGTTTGTAATCATTCTAACTCTATATTAAGTATAAAACACACTGGTCATGATTACAGAGTTTATTCAATTTTCAGGTTAGAGCAACTCATTGATTTCGGTGTTTATATAGGTGTATGCAGTTGTAAGCACATAGGACTAGATTCATTCTAGGATCCAGATAGCCCTGTTTGCCCATATTTTCTAATTTATTGGCTCCCAAAATAAAAATTTTCCTAAAAATTTTTGTATCTTTTCCCAAGCTCATAAATAATGTTATTTATATAGCAAAATTACTGTGTGCGATGAACAAAACAGTTTCGAGTATAACAGGGGTTTGCAGGCAGGCTTAAATAAATTGAGTGTCCAGTACCAAAAGTTGCACTTAATGGTTAAATTTGAACATTATAGGAATATCCCATATATTCTAGGGATTTATTAAATTGCATGAAAAAACGAAGTGCACATGGCTTAGTCTAAAGACTTATTACCTGCAGTATTTCTTTTTGGGAAGTTAATCGGTTTCTGTTTTTATTTCTCTGTATACATATTCATATGTATAAGTACTTGCTCCCTAAGATGTGAGCTATTTATTATTTTTGGTATTTTATATAGCGCCAATTTATTCCACATCGTTTTACAAAATTATAAAAGGGGGAAATTTAACAATGAGACAATTACAAAATGTTACGGGAACAATAAGTTGAGGAGGACCCTGCTCAACAAGCTTACAGTCTAGAGGAGTTGGGGGATAGCAACCAAACAACAAGTTGGGAAAGTAGCAGAACTTGAGGTGAGAGTGGCCCATTAAGAGGGAGCAAGAGATATGCTTGTAAAACAGAAGTTACTCTGGGGGGCCGAAAGCTTTTCTGAAGCGATGGGTTTTGAGGGGCTTCTTAAATGATTGAATACTAGGGGAGAGTTTATAGGGGTAGGCTGGCTGTTCTAAAGGAAAGGAGCCATCCGTGAAAAGCGCGAGTTAGCAGTAAGGGTCCGAGCAGTGGACAGGAGAAGGTCTCCGGCAGAGCGGAGAGACTGAGAAGGGGCGTACCTACGAATTGGTGAAGATACTTTAAAAACTTATTGAAAACCCTAACTTAAATTTTGAAAATTCATACACTTTCAGCCTGATTGTGCTTTTATCAGTACACATGAAACAGGCTGAAGGTGTTTTGTTTTTTCTTCAGTCAGAATTTTAGATTTGTTGATTTGTATTTCAAAATGAAATATTGACAACTAAAATTGGGTTTGGTTGATATATTGCAAATGAAAATTATGCATTTCTTTCATTGAGCTTGTATCCAAAAAACACTTCCAAAAATTGCATATCTCTTGTTTAAACCCTTTGCAAGGCATTCCCCTCTAACCCTGCTCAGACTTTCTGTGGCTGTCCACTTTTTTTTTTTCACACTTTTTCCAATGCAGCTCAATGAGAAGTATTTGCAAGGCAGGTGTTCTGGGCAATTGCTGCCTCTTGAGTTTAGCTCAACTTACCTAAAATAACAGGACATGTTGTCGTATTGACAGCTTGGGGGTTGTAACAATGATTTTTTTTTAATAAAAGTAATAATTTTTATTGGAATCTCTATGAGTAAAATTCTGCATCTCCATGCAGTGCGTGGGGACGTTGAACGTCAGGGCTGCTTTTTTTGGCAGCGCTGACCCAGGAAGCACCTCCAGTGGCCATCTGAGGAGTGGCAACTTGTCCCTAGAGGCAATGTAAACACTGCCTTTTTCTGAAAAGGCAGAGTTTGCATGAAAAAAGCCTAAAGGGAACTATTATACTCACCAGAACGACTACATTAAAGGGACACTATAGTCACCAGAACAACTACAGCTTATTGAATTTGTTCTGGTGAGTAAAATCATTACCTTCAGGCTTTTTGCTGTAAACACTGTCTTTTCAGAGAAAATGCAATGTTTACATTATATCCTAGTGATAAAATCACTGGCCACACCTCAGCTGGCTGTTAGAGATCCTTCCTAGGTCATGGCTGCCTAAAATGCATCCAAACATTCAGTGTCTCCTCCATCTGCATGCAGACACTGAACTTTCCTCATAGAGATGAATTGACTCAATTAATCTCTATGAGGAAAGTGCTGATGCTGATTGGCCAGGGCCGTGTTTGAATCATGCTGGCTCTGCCCTTGATCTGCCTCCTTGTCAGTCTCAGCCAATCCTATGGGGAAGCATTGTGATTGGATTAGGCTACCACTTCTGATTATGTTAGCAGACTGCTTCTTTATTTGAGGCAAACAGCATGCAAAGCTACAGCTTCAGGCTTTAAATACAGTATGTTTTTACTATATTTATGGAGGCATGAGGGGCCCAGGGGGGCTAGATGGTGGTTTTCATACTATAGAGTCAGGAATACATGTTTGTGTTCCTGACCCTATAGTGATCCTTTAAGCTGTAGTTGTTCTGGTGACTATAGCAGGGCTTGACAAATTTGTTTGGAATATAGGAGCCAGGTAAAAACGTTAGGAGCCAGTAATTTTCAACGAGAAAGTGCAATTCTTAAAGGGACACTATAGTCACCAGAACCACTACAGCTTGATGTAGTTGTTCTAGTGTCTATAGCCTGTGCCTGCAGGCATTTCAGTGTAAACGCTGCCTTTTCCGCAAAAAGGCAGAGTTTACATTGCTGTTTAGTAACACCCCTAGTGACAGTCACTCAGCCACTAGAGAGTCCTGGGTCACTGCTGCACCACGTGCAGCACCCTGGTTCAGTGTCTCCAAGCATTGCCTTAGCTGAGATCATAAAGATTGATCATCTCAGCCATGGCGAAGCTGGCACGGCGTGGGAAATGGGAAGAAAGGTGAGTAAAAACATGTGCGATCGGAGGGGGCAGGTACCTAAACGCACACACGCTGACAACAGGCGCTCACAAACAAACTCTTGACAGGCTCACACACACACGCATTGACAGGCTCACACACACACGCATTGACAGACTCATACACACACACACACACACACACACACACACATTGACAGGCTCACTCATATACACACACACACGCATTGACAAGCTCACTCATACACACACACACATTAACAGGCTCACTCATACACACACACACACACATTAACAGGCTCACTCATACACACACACACATTGACAGGCTCACTCATACACACACACACATTGACAGGCTCACTCATACACACACACACATTGACAGGCTCACTCATACACACACACACACTGACAGGCTCACACACACACTCACACACACTCTGATGGGCTTACACGCACACACATTTTTGTTTGAATTGAAACCCACTCAACCTCCCTACCTTTGGGAGAGCCGAGTGAGTCTTTCCTGAGGTCCAGTGGGGTTGCACTCTTCCTGTGTGCGAGGGAGCAGTACTAAGCCTGTAGCTCCTCTCTGCTCCCTCGCGCTCTGTAATGATGCTGGGGCCGGAATGACGTAATATTCTGGCTCCCGACATCATTACAGAGCGAGGGAGCAGAGAGCAGCTGCAAACAGAGTACTGCTCCCGCAGACGGCCGCCTCCTCCATGCTCTTCAGGGCGGCCACCCACCTCCATGCTCCTGCGGGCGGCCTCCTGCAATATTCCCCATGGCGGCCGCCGTCGTCAAAACTAGAGAGTTGGCAAATCCCAGACGCCAGGGTGAAATTTCTAGTTGCCATGGCAATCTGGTGCCTGGAATTTGTCGAGCCCTGGACTATATTGTCCCTTTAAGGCTAGTTTTACATATCTAGCATGTAGATATCTAACTTTTGGCCACCTCTTGTTATTATAGATGGACTGATTCAGGTATTGGACACTTTTGTTTACAGTTACTGACTTTATCTCTTTATGTGAAAAGTCATTCTTACATTATGTAAGATATGGAAGGTTCATTGTTAAGTTTTTGGGGAATGTTTTTCCTCCAAACACTGTAGTGCTAAGAAATGTGCTTGATTAGTGTGCTCTACATTAAGATCGGCTCATTCTAAACACTTTAATCAATGACATGATTTGAATATATACCTGAAAAACCGAAGTCTGCATTTGAAAAGGGTTTCGTTACTTTGTTTGGTTTAATGTGGTGATGCAGACATGCTGACAAGCTCACTGTGCATTTCAGATATCTCAATAAAGATGATTAAATGATTACCTCTTTTGTCCAGAAAGCATTCACGACTGCAGTCTGCCAGATAGCATTGTGTTCCTTTGTCAGTCCTACTGTGTGAATTGTCATACCCTATAATCAGGTGACCTGCTCTCTGTGCTGTTTTATGATCACAGCTTGCTGTCATTTGGGCAAAGTTGTCGCATATTGTTAGACTCATTTTCTTAATTGCAGCTCTCCTCAGGCCGGTTGCTAAGGAAGGCAGGGTTACAATGTGATGCCTTTGCTGGTACATGTGACAGTGCAACTCTTTTAGCATACTGTTTCACTTAGTCAACCTCACCACATATTCTACTTGCAGAAATGACACATAGTCTGCTTTTTCAATGAAAACAATCCATACTATCTTTGTCAGAATGTTATGGAAGGGTGTATTTGATAAGTGACCTGCTTAATATGTTCTTTTGGTTTCATGGATGTAAATTATGTTTTTAGACTGATACAGCATAATTAATAATGGTCTATATTTATTTGTGTTTAGCGTTGATTGACAAGATACCCATGTTAACAGGGGTGAAAGCGATGCACACACAGAAATTACGGGCTGCATTCAAATATACATTATCCTTGTTCTAGGTGCTGGGCTCCAGATTAATCTGCCCCTTCCAAAGGGAAAACGAAATGTAGGTCATTCCTGAGTTGGCAGAATGTATTGGATCAATGGCAGCCAACCTCTAGCACTCCAGATGTTGTTTATAGCTGTTTGGGCATTACGTCTGCAGCATCGAAAGGTTCTCTATCAGTGATCTGAATATTTATAGAACGATGAGGGAATGTATAAATAGCTAACCAAATAGAATGCTTTTCTCAGAATTCTTCCACATCTATTTCAAGCAGGATATGATGGCTTGTCTCATAGTTTTATTCTGCACATAAACCATATTGCTTGCTCAGTCTAGCCATTTAGTATTCAGTTTTATATATTTGGACCAGGATTCTGATAGCTTGAGAAAGACCTTATAGATCGAAACGTTGCTGCTTGTCATTTAGTTAGAATAAAATTGCCTTCTTGGACTTTGGAGTGCCTAAACCTCTCTTTATTAACTGCATATTGTACCTGGTGCTGGGTCCAGGTTTAGCTGCACCCTGGTTCATAGTAATGGGATTGAGTGGTAGTTCCTAATTTATTTCAGATTAAGATTCTGGTAGTGACCCCTGGAAACCAAACACCACTTTTGTTTACTCAACATCATCGTTCTAAAATGGAGGAATACATGTCGACTAGTCTATAGGGAATTTCTCCCCAGATATATAAAAAAAAAAAAAAAAATGCTCCCTTAAGGGATATTGGCTAGCTTTACATTTAAATATCACCTGTTGATTTTATATACACACACACAAACACAAACGCGCAGTTCTGCTCTGTGCGTGTGCATATGTTTTAACGTGAGTAGAGAAAAAACAGTTTTATCGCTTTGTTTTCAGTTTTATAACCATTGCAAGAATTGAGGGGAAAGGAACTATTTTTACAGACAGTAGCAAGCGGCTTTTGTGACATTATGATTGGTGCAGTATAGAGGAAAGTTACAGTAGACTGCTCAAATCCATGTCTATTTTTTATTTTATTTTTTTTATATATCTTTAAAGGACCACTATAGTGCCAGGAAAACAAACTCGTTTTCCTGGCACTATAGGGTCTTTAGGTCCCCCCCACCCTCAGGGTCCCACTGGGCTGAAGGGGTTAAAACACTTACCTTTCTCCAGCGCCGGGCTCCCTCTGTGCTGGGTAACTGCCGATGTCAGCACCGAATGCACGTGCGCGGCAAGAGCCGCGCGCACATTCAAACCGCCCATAGGAAAGCATTTCTCAATGCTTTCCTATGGACATCCAGCGTCTTCTCACTGTGATTTTCACAGTGAGAAGCGCGGAAGCGGCCTCTAGCGGCTGGCAGTGAGCCACTAGAGGCTGGATTAACCCTAGGGTAAACATAGCAGTTTCTCTGAAACTGCTATGTTTACAGCTGCAGGGTTAACACTAGAGGGACCTGGCACCCAGACCACTTCATTGAGCTGAAGTGGTCTGGGTGCCTATAGTGGTCCTTTAATAGAAGTGGCACAGAAAGCAGTAAACCTATCAGTCCCTTATCTGTGAAAATGTTTTAAACGTTTTATTTAATTGATTTCAAATGATTTTTATTTTTGTTTACAGTGTTTTGTTACAATTTTGCGATGTGTTGGCAGGGTTGAATAAATAGACCTTCCAGATTATGATGGGATGGAATCTCTCAAGGACATGAAGGTGCACATATTTCAATCCCCATGTTTAGGATTAGTTCTGAGATATTTTCCCCCCAGCTTGTAATTGCTAGTTAGGTGGCTTTTGTGATATCCTTGTTTACAATGATCAGTTTGTCGAATATCAAAATGACAGTCTTTTTTTATATGAATCTTTTCACCCTGCAGTTCATTGTTGACTTTTAATGTAATGTAATGTTTGAGGTGCTCTGAATATGATAGCAATCAATGATCAACAATTAAATATTTTTGGATCTCTGGCACTTGATTTTTGAACTCTTGGCCATAGAGACTATCATTGCAAGAGGATAATGCTATTGTAGAGCTGTCTACTACATTTTGCTTCTTACATCTTTCAGAACCAGAGATCTGATGCTGTAAGGATTTATACTAACTAGCCTGATTTACAGAGCTTAGTTCAGAAGCTACTGGAAACCTTAAAAGATGGAGTCAGAAATAGCAAATTGTATAACATGCTATCCTATCCTATTGTGTTTTACACCCCACCTCCTATAGACTGTAAGCTCGTTTGAGCAGGATCCTCTTCAACCTATCATTCCTGTAAGTTTTCTTGTAATTGTCCTATTTATTGTTAAATTCCCCCTCTTATAATATTGTAAAGCGCTATGGAATCTTATGGCGATGATAATAATATAACACTGGTCATTACATGATCAGGTTTATTGAAACCTCAATGGAAGTAATAGTGTCTGCAAGCAAACCAATGTAATTGATAAAAAGAACGAGGTAGCAAAAAAATATGGCAGGAGGTGACCAGGAACTCTCCATCTATTGGAGGATGGAACCCAGGATCAGAGCAATACTGGAGATACAAAGGAGGATGAGACACTTAAGGACACAACTTCTGGAATAAAAGGGAATCATGACGGAATATTTCCGTCATGTGTCCTTAAGGGGATAAATGATGCCTATGACTGGAACAAAAACCTATTGTAAATGCTTCTTGCCTTACTATTACTAGAAGAATTGGGACCAAAAGGTAGCTGTATGGTTGAGCACAAGACGTTAAAGGGACACTATAGTCACCAAAATAAGTTTAGCTTAAAGGAGCACTGTAGTGCCAGGAAAATAAACTAATTTTCCTGGCACTATAGGTTTATTAGGTACCCCCCCTCTTTTAGTGCCCCCCTCCCGCTGGGCTGAAGAGGTTAAAACCTCAATGCTTTCCTATGGACGTCCAGCGTGCCCTCAATGCGATTTTCGTGATACAGTCACTAGTGGCTGGATTAACCCTCTAGGCAAAAAATAATGGGGGTTTGGTTACATTATATGATCATACATTGCATACGCCTGCCACAATGTCAATGTACCCCATCTTTGGCAGGTCCTACTCTAACTGCTAAATGAGCTACTCACTTGGGGAAATCCTTCCATCTTGAGTTCTCTGCAGTACAAGGCTAAAAAGGATCCTGGGATGAGGCACCTGTGACCCGTTTTTTCTCTCCAATTTTTTACTCTGTGTGTGTGTGTATATATATGTTGATGGCTTGGCACTCTCCTTAACAGGATTTAAAATATACCTGCCTGGGTGCAATCCACAGTGCGTCCAATATGTACACGAAGAAAGATCCAGGATGCACTGCCAGGTCTTTTACCAAAGTATAGTGAGATTTATTTAAAGGATGTGCATACAGCAAACAAAAACAACGTTTTGTTTCTTGAAAAAGACCCTCAGGGGTCGATGTTTCGACCCCTGAGGGTCTTTTTCAAGAAACAAAACGTTGTTTTTGTTTGCTGTATGCACATCATTTAAATAAATCTCACTATACTTTGGTAAAAGACCTGGCAGTGCATCCTGGATCTTTCTTCGTGTGTGTATATATAATAAATATATATATTTCGTAACTGAAGCTGACACACATTTTGGAGTATGACAAGTCCACTCTAATGCAAAACCAAATCGTGCAGAGGGAACTTGCTGGCATTTCGGATCTGGACTGCCCGTACGGGTGGGACCAGTCTGATATGCTTCAGATATGTTCTCTCTGTAATGGCACGAGTTGAGCTCAAACCAGCTTGAGATCTGAGCAGGGACCCACCGAAGGGCAGGCTATTTCAGCTGCTGTCCATTCTCTGTATACTCTAGCGCCCTGTTTTTTTGCTTTCCAAAACCAAATTACAATTTATTTTAAAAAAATCTGTTCAAAAGTGGTCCTGTCGCATTTGAAAAAGTCCATAATGTGAAATTGCATTCCTTGCATACTGCTACATGCGGTGGCATTTTCAGTGCCTATTTAACAAGCAATGACTGTTCAGTTCGATCAGAAACATAAATACTGCTTAGAATCCTACTCCTCGTGACTTGGGATGACAGATTTTAAATATAAATGCTACTTTCACTAAAACACCTTGTAGGTTTAATCAGTCCCACAGGAGTAATAGTGAGTTAGAAAACAGGAAAGTTAAAAACACACAGTTAATGTGTGGCATACATTATACTAGGTAAGGTTTCCCTCTTTCTAAACCTCTACATTTCATGAAACTATTCCTAGAGAAACCACAGACGATCATCTATCAGTGGATTAATAAATGTATTCTGTGTTCAATTGATAGAACTGTAGTGTTTCCTCTCTGTAAGAGTTCCGTTTGCTGAGTTTTTCTGTTTATAACAACTTACCATGCGCTCTTAAAGAGTGAAAAGTGGTGGAATTAATCACTTGACTATATTGTGAATTTAAATTGTATTACAAAATGCTTAAACTGAAATTCTAGCTGACTTGCAGATTTATTTCCAGTTTGGATATTTGGGTGTCAAATGTGGAATTACTTGCAATTCACATTTTACTAAATAGCCCTGAATATGTATTTGGGCGTTGGCTTATCCACAAGGGCAGATATTTATTTAAGGTTAGGTCCTTATTTTCATCTATTAAGGTAGCACCATAGCCACTACAGTGCACTGCAGTGGTTATGGTGCCAGGAGTGTAATGTAAGTATTCAAACCGTTTTCGAACAGTTTGACTTCATAACTGGGTGCCAATCCCTGCCTCCATTACAGCCATCTCTCTAGCCGGTAACTATATGTCTGAGCTAAGCCCAGTGTTGCAGAGCTTAGCTCATTGGCTGAGAGCAATCAGCTGTCACTCTCAGCCAAAGAACTAGCATTGCACTACAAGACTTAGCCTGAAGCTGAGAGGAGACAGGTCCCCAGGTAACATGTCAAATGGATTAAAAGCATTAAAGGTTTACTATAGTCACCAGAATCACTGCAGTTTAATGTAGTGGGTCTAATATCTATATGCTGTCCCTGCAGGCTTTTCATACAACCACTAGAGGTGCTTCCTAGTGCAGTGATGCACAGTGTGCAGCACCTACGTTCAACGTCTCCACATGGAGGCTCTGAACGTTCCCTATAGAGGTGCTTTGATTCATTGCATCTCTCTATGAGGAGATGCTGATTAGCTCAGCATTTTACTGTGCATGTGCAATAGGGTCCCAATGCTTTCCTGTGGGAAAGCATTGGATTTGCTCAGATCAAGATTGATTCTAAACCAGGAAGGCTGGGCCAGCCATGGCATAGCAAAACACCTTTACCATGCGATTGGATGGGGACCGGTTACCTGAATAGTATAACATTATAGTGTGAGGGATATAAGTTTTATTCCTGACACTAAAGTGTTCCTTTAAATTTACACACAAAGAAGATTATAACCAAACGTTAACTTGCAGATAATAAATATATTCTGATGTGACACACCAGATGTTTTATGCAAAGTATAAGTGTTTTTTGTTGTTGTTTTTTGTAATGTGGCTTTTTGTGGCCATGAACATGTCTTGTATTTTTAGAATTTAAGTATCAATACTTACACACACAAACTGATTTGACACACACATTTTATGACGCATTAACAAATTATTGTGTGGTTTATTTTAGCTATCACTGGGAGAGCTGGAGTGAATGAATCCTTTCCCTGGTGTCCAGTGTGGCTGCTATGATCCTGTAATCTTCAAGCTCTTCTTGCTGTACTCACTAACTTGCTGTTTAGCGATGCCGTGGCCGGAGTGATGTCACATCCTGGTTCCCTGCATCACAGCAAGGCGCGCAAATAGTAGAATAGTAAGATTACTGCTCCCTCGCCACTGCCTCCATTCTGCACAGCCACACTCCTCGGGGGCCCTAATGTGGCAGGTGCTGAACGGACTGACAAACACCCAGGACAAAATTCCTAATCGCCATGGTGACATTGTGCCGGGGATTTGCCAAGCCCTGCTTTAATATTAGATATAACTAGATCATGTCTTCACTAATATCACTTATTACTTGGGTGATGTCATGGGAAGGGATGCACAGCAAGCGGTGTGTAACAACCCAACAGCATCAAGACAAACAATGCTGATCTGCTAACCTTTGAGAAAACATTTCAGTACAATTTTCTCTTTGCGTCAAACTAATGGACCTGCCACCTTGAAAATAAAATTCCACTATTTTTACACTTTGTTCCTTTGTGAAATTACCCATGATGAATCTCCCAACACTCCTTTATAATATGTACGTGCAACAACAAAAAATGTAACTATTAACAAATTATTTACCTGCCAAATCCTACTCGGAATTTTATTGTATTTTTTTTTTTTTTTTTTTAATTGGGAATTTCATTTTATTAAAGGACATTTTTTTTTTTTTCCAAACAAATTTCAAAAAAATGCAGGTGATATATTAACATGGCAAGGCTCACAAGTCTCATATATAATAAACATGTTTAATAACAAAATGAGATATATGGAAATCTCCAGATATATAAGATTAGAAAAGACACGTAGGTCTCGAATCAAGCATAATCAGGCTGTCCAATCTACAATATGTGGTATTGTTATATGATTCATGCAACTCTCTCCTCAACAACCTACTCTCTTTTTTTGGCCCAGCCTGTACAAAGAATACTATCTATTTAGACTCTGGCACCAAAAAAAAAAAAAATACTTTATATATTCACTGACACTGATCTCACCATGGCCATCACATCTTCCCTGGCTGATATCATTATAGCCCTTATGATTCTTATCCAATCCAAGGAAGGATTGGGAGCTAGGGTGCATGCACAGCAATCACCCCACTACGCCAGTCAGCATCTTCTCATAGAGATGCATTGACTCTGTTCACTGCAGTCTTTGCAGGACCTCATCCAGGAAGTCCTTCTAGTGGCTGCCACTCATGCAGCCAGTAGAGGTGTTGTTTAAGCTGCAATCTAAACACTACTTTTTTTTTTCCGATTCCCTAATGCTGATTGAAAACAGCTGTTTTATTATTTATAAAGCACCAGCAAATTCCATGGAGCTGTACCATTGACTCTTTGCCGAATGCATACAGAAACCCAACTTCTCATTTTCAACATGCACATTAAACTTCTGGAAAGCAGAAAGGCCATTCTTGTGTAATATCCATGCACAACTACAAGATTTATTGATAGATTATTATTATTTTTTGTTTTCTTGGAATATCTCCATAAAATGCAGAACTTAGGAAAGATGACAGCTATACCATTGAAACATTCCCCCAAACCTTCGTGTTATGCTTCAGCCTTTATACTTGAGTTTTTATTTTATTTTTCATGGCAGGCTTTTGTAGCTCACTAGGTTTCCCTAGGGAATGATTAAAGCCTCAAGGAGTTTTAGTGGAAGCAGCATTTATATTTGTATCTGTGTCTCTCTGTCATGCTAAGTCATGAGAAGTTGGTTTCTAAGCTGTATTTAGTCTTGTTGCTGACTTGAACAATCATTACTAATTCTGCCATTACATCCATCACTGACAAGAGCCTCTCCATTGGGGATTGATGTGAACTATCTAGATCTCTGTGTGTAGTTATTATGAGGGGAGATTTAGCAACGGTGCTGCTGACAATTATCCATCTAATTTCTGGCTCAAATTATAAAACTTGTCATATATTTTTTTTTTTTTATTTTTTTTTTATTTATTTTTTTATATTGGTTTCTTTTTTTTGCCACCTAACAGTTGTAATTTTTTTCCTGTCGAAAATGCTTTATGAATATTTCCGCCATTTTTTAGAGGCCAGGAAGTGGCATAATTTTTTTACCACTATAAATTTGGCAATCTTCTGAGATGGAAGATTCAGTGAAAACTGGTGGAGTTTGCTATGAAGAAAGCCATCGCTTTTTAGATAAAAATAAATAAATATGATTTTTTAAAATTTTATTATGATGTATTTATCTATTTGTGGTCAGAAATATAAAAGCTGTATGTAAATTGAGGGTGGTGCCGAAACCAATGTAAAGGTAGGCCTGTAAATAAGAAGCCCCACTAAGGTAAAAAGAAGAGAGAAAACAAAATTAGGTACAATAATTTAAATAAGGAGAAATGGGTGGGATGACCTGAGACATTCCGCCCAGGTAGGCAATTACAGGCCTGCATCCTTAACACTTGTGTTCAGAACCATAAAAGCTGTATGTACATTGATTTTGGTGCAAACCAGTTGTGGTAGACTTGTAAATAAGAGGGCAAAAAAGGTTGCAAAGAAAATTACACTTTATTACATAAGAATTATAAATCTAAACTTTTGAATGCTTTTCTCAATTCGTTCTCTGGAACGGTTATAAACGGAGCCTTTTGATTATGTGAACTAGGGAATTAACAGTGGCGGCTGCTAATGCTGCCCCGATTCTACAGGAATGCCAAGAAAAAGATGCAGGGTTGAAACAGTCTTAGGAACAGGGTCCTAACATACAAAATTCTCACTCAACACTAGCCATTAGCGAATAAAAATATAGACCCCCTGGGAGTAGACATGCCCCTCTACTAAGTATGCTATGGCATTTGTGGGCTTGTAGTGTCAAGTAACTATTATGGCCTGGCTTGCGTTTGGACTTAAAGGACCACTATAGTGCCAAGAAAACATACTTGTTTTCCTGGCACTATAGTGCCCTGAAGGTGCCCCCATAGGCGTGCGCAGCCTATTGCATTAGGGTGTGCACCCTAAAGCACAAGCACACGCCGCATATATATATGTATTTATGTATTTATATATATATATGTGTGTGTGTGTGTGTATGTATATATATATATATATATATATATATATACACATACACACACATACACACACTGCTGTGTGTGTGCTGTGTGTGTGCTGTGTGAGGGTGCTGTTAGTGTGATGTGTGTGTGACGGTGCTGGTAGTGTGCTATGTGGGTGAGGGTGTTTGTGTGTGTGTGTGTGTGTGCTTGTGAGGATGCTGTTTGTGTGTGTGTGTGCGCTTGTGAGGGTGCTGTTTGTGTGTGAGGGTACTGGCAGTGTGCTGTGTGTGTGTTTGTTAGGGTCGTGTTTGTGTTTGTGAGGGTACTGTTAGTGTGCTGTGTGTGTGTGAGGGCGCTGTGTATGTCTGTGGGTGCTGTGTATGTCTGTGGGTGCTGTGTATGTGTGTGGGTGCTGTGTATGTGTGTGTGCTGTATGTGGGTGATTGTGGAGGTGGGGGTACATTAATTGCTATCCCCCCTCCCTTCTTACCTTTTGTAGGGAGGGGGGATCGTGCTGCTGATTCCATCCCTGGTGGTCCAGTGGAGAGGGAACTCTAGCCCCTGTGGGGCTAGAGTTCACTCTCGCGAGATTTGAACGTTGCCGAGGCAACGCTCATATCTCGCGAGAGGAACCTGGCGGAGCTGCCGGCATTAGCTCCGCCGGGTCCTCTCCTGCCTCCCTCCCTGCATGTGGGTCAGTGGGGAGGGAGGCTGAGAGCAGAGCCGGCGCTCAGATAGCGCCGGCTCTGCATGAGCCGACAGGGGAGATCCTGAGATCTCCCCTGCTGGTCTCAATATACATAGGCGTGCGCGGGGATTAGGGTGTGCCCAGGCACACCCTGTAGGCACACCCCGTGCGCACGCCTATGGGTGCCCCCACCCTCAGTCCCCCTCCTGCCGGGCTCTGGAGAGAGGAAGGGGTTAAAATCTTACCTTTCTCCAGCGCCGGGCGGGGAGCTTTCCTCCTCCTTTACTTCCTAGCGACATCAACGGCTGAATGCGCATGCGCAGTAGGAGCCGCGCACGCATTCAGCCAGTTCATAGGAAAGCATTTACAATGCTTTCCTATGGATGCTGGCATCTTCTCACTGTGATTTTCACAGTGAGATGCAAGCAAGCGCCTCTAGCGGCTGTCAATGAGACAGCCTCTAGAGGCTGAATTAACCCTCAGTGTAAACATAGCAGTTTCTCTCCTTTGTTTGCAATAAAAGCTGTTAGAAAAAAAATAAGGGGTTTTTACTTACGTTCAATCCAGTGCCAGGCAAATCTCCAGGCACTGATTTCCACACCCTGTCCTCAAATCACAGGGACGTCGTGCAGTCCAAACACAGACCAATTGCCAGCTCAGAGCACATACACTAGGGAAGGGTAAGAGGAAGGATTATTTTTTTTTTCTTTAAACTGCCTGCAACAGAGGGAGGCAGGAGGGAGCACACACTGTGAGGTAGGGGACGGCTTTATTCCCATTGAAGGCGCTCCACCTGCCAAGGGAAGATTTTTACATCTATTGTCACCATGCAGTACGCCGTGGTGACAGATTTAAAATATGCACAGAATTGACATTGTGTAACCTGGAACAGAATTCTGGGATGCCAGTGTCATGTGTGCTGGGGGTGCAACTAGCTCCCAGCACACAGTTGCCAATAACTCAGTTTGTTCAGTGTTTCAAGCTAAAGCACTGCAGATACATCCTTTACCATCATGGCCATTTCAAATCACTGAAGTGGTCATGGTGGTTGGCATTACCCTTTAAATAAAACCGCTGTCGCCATTCACCTACACATTTTCTTTATTGCATCCAATATGGACTTTATATCTCCTTTCCATCCAATCTATGCAGGGTGGGCATATACCAAATACTTGCTTTCCTTCCCAGCTCTTGAAGAGAGACGGTGCCATTACTACGTAAATGTGCAGTCCACAGCTCCCGCAGTGTTTGTGTATTGCTCCACTTACAAAACTGTAAGTGGGGCTGTTGCCATACAGCTGCTGCAATGAGCCTATTAACTTATTCAGCAGTTCCACTAATATTTTGTAATGAATGGAACTGCTGCCAGTAACTGCTCTACATATACCATCAAGCTTTAGTAAACAGAGGTTTGTGGGATACGATCAGACGGATATACCACAATTAGAGGCTCCTGATTGGTATAGCCTTTCTCTGGTCTGGCATTGAGTTTGCTGCTTCCTTTCTTGGTCATCTGAAGCACCTGCAGAACTATTATTTTATTATATAAGTAACAATATGGAGAGCATATCAGACATAGTGTATCCCTTTAAAGTCCAAACTCTTTAAACTTATTTAGAGAACAAATTAAGGTTTTTGTTTCATTGCTCCCTGATGCAAAGGAAGTATTAGAATTATGAATTCGGAACGCATATTTAAAGTTTGTAGCGACAGGTTTGGCAGTACATGAAGCCATAGTGTCACCTTCATGTGGAAGATTGCCCTACTTTGGGGTAGTGTTCTCAAGTAGGCCCATCCAATCACTCGGAAAAGGAGGGAGGAGTGTGTTGCAGGGCAGGCATTACTTTAGTATAACACCCAATCATGGCGGCACTTGCACACTGGGAAAGAGTTGAGTATTTACTCACTTTCTCCAAAATTAAAGGAACATTATAGGGTCAGGAACAATCAGCACCTCCTCATAGATATGAATTGAATCAATGCATCTCTATGAGGAAAATTCAGCATGGAGTCGCTGAACGGTAGTGATGCCTACTGTGTAGCACTGCCCCAGGAACCGTCTCTAGTAGCCATCTGAGTAGGGGCCAGTGGAGGTGTCCCTAGCGGGCAATGTAAACACTGCATTTTCTCTGAAAAGGCAGTGTTTGCAAGAAAATGCCTGAAGGGACTGATTATACTCACCAGAACTACAACATTAAAGGACCACTCTAGGCACCCAGACCACTTTAGCTTAATGAGGTGGTCTGGGTGCCAGGTCCAGCTAGGGTTAACCCATTTTTTTTATAAACATAGTTTCAGAGAAACTGCTATGTTTGTAAATGGGTTAATCCTTCCTCCAATTCCTCTAGTGGCTGTCTCATTGACAGCCGCTAGAGGCGCTTGCGTGATTCTCACTGTGAAAATCACAGTGAGAGCACGCAAGCGTCCATAGGAAAGCATTGTAAATGCTTTCCTGTAAGACCGGCTGCGCGCGCAGCTCTTGCCGCGCGTGCGCATTCATCCGAATGGGAGGAGAAGAGGAGGATTGGAGGAGGAGAGTACCTCAGGGCACTTATAGTGCCAGGAAAACGAGTATGTTCTCCTGGCATTATAGTGGTCGTTTAAGCTGCAGTTGTTCTGGTGACTATAGTGCCCCTTTAATTATATAATTGATCTTTATTCATTGCTTTAGAAGCTGTTATCCTTTTAAGATACCATCATCATGGGTTCACTTTAAATCATTCCAAAGTCAATAAAAGAAGTACCAGTAAGTCAGCTATAACTCTGGTTGTATTTAAAGACTAACAGTCTAAATTGTTTGGGGGTTTTTTTGTGTGTTTTTTCCCTTCCTTTTTCTAGTGTGTTTGTATCTTAATTGTGATTGTTCAAGTGAAATGTTTGAACTTTGTCATGTGATGTTTGTTTTATTTACCCAGTGCATATGACATTTTAGCAATTTGAATGGAATAAGACGTTTATGCAACTCGGGGTAATCATTCCATTTCCTGGGGAGAGGTTTAAGAATTATACAACTAAAGTCTCTGAACATAATTATTTAGGTCACACAACAAATTATTTGATTGCTTGAAGGTGATTGAGTAGAACAGCTTCAGGTTTAAGAAATTATTTCATTAATTTTGTTGTAAAATATTTCAGACCTAGTTAATTTCGGGTCAAGTGCATGAATCAATGTCTTTGTAACGTGTGCAGCCTTAAGAATTTTAGGAATTTCCTTTTTTACTAGGAAATGTGGTGTATTACTAACAGAAAGCGAAAGACCAGAAGTAAAGCAGTCGGTTATAAAAGTAATGCAAAATCACCCAGTGGTCAAACACGCTCTGTCTTAAACAGGAACTGTCACTTCCCAGGATTTGAGAACATATTGGCAAATATGTTTTGTGAGGTTTGTAAAGTAAAATGTAAAAATACACACATCTGTCTTGCAACTGGGTGCCACCATATTGGCTCCTTGTCAATCATCTTTATAATTTACTTAGAAATCTTTTTTCTTTGTTCATCTTTATAAATGTTGTCATTTTCTGCCAGATATAATGAAAAGAGAAGAAACCAAAACATTTTCTCATCTCATTCTTATTTGCATGCTGTGCCTGGACTGGATTGTGGTTTCATTTCCTAAAGGTACACTATAGGCACTCCGACCACTTTAGCTCATGGAAGTGTTCTGGGTGCTTTGGCTCTGTCCTCCTTCGTCCTGCCATGTAAATAATTGCAGTTTTAGAGAAACTGCAATAAATGCATTGCAGGACTAAAACTGCATTTAGTGGCTGTCAATTAGGCAACCTCTAAAGGCACATCCTGGTGGCTAACCAACTCTTGGTCGCTTGATGCTGGATGTCCTCACACCTAATGGGCATTAGTATCCCCTTTAATTAGAATCTGTAATATAACCTTTAAAAGAGAGCTGAGCAACACATGAAAACATTTATTCAACCACCATGACCACTTCTGCTTTTTTAAGTGGTCATGGTGCTAGGTGTCTGGATGTGCAGTGTTTCAGCTTAAAACACTGCAGATCCAGAGTTATTTGTGTTCTGGGTAATAGTTACACAGTTGGCACATTTGACTTAGGCAGCCCAGAACTCTGTTCAGACTGCCTAATGTCAGTTCTGCACGCTGGAGGCAGATGTTCCCTGCTTCTGCCTCCCCTCCCTCCGTGTCTGCAGTTATTATTCCATTTTCAATTATCATTTTTTTCACTCACCCTTTATTTTTCTCTGTTCTTAATTTCCTCTCACTCCCTTCGCATGCGCTCTTAGTCAGTTAAATGTTCCAGTCAAATACTTCTCTACAAGAAGCCTTTGATTGGACCTTCATGCGGCTCCTGTGATGTCTCAAGGGAGTGTGCCAAGCAGTTTGTTGGATTTGTGCTTGATGTTTTCCTTAAATAATTTTTAATTTTGATCCAGTTTCCAAATGTTTGTATCTGTAAAAAAATTAAAAACTACAGTGGTCTCATAAGGTAATGACAAATGAGTATTTTAAACAGAAAAATGGCATCCACGCTAATTTTGATTTACTTAGCAGTGAGACACATTAGGGTAATAGGTTAAATCATTACATACAAACTTAATTGTTGCTCTAAATTGGGTTTGCTTCTTTTTTTCTTTCTTGTGACTACTTTTTCTTTTCTCATTTTAGGATACTCAACCCCTCTGGGTGGTATGTTGATCAAACATCGGGTGAGACGGTGTCTGGCGCAAGAGGGATTACTCTAAAACGGGGCACCCTCAACATGGGCCAGTGTGTCACCAAGTGCAAGAACCCATCCTCGACACTAGGCAGTAAAAATGGTGAGAGGGAATCCAGCAAGCAACCTAAAAGAAGTTCAAGCCACAAGGAGGAACACTCGGTTAGTGGGAAGGCAGCTGGAGACATTCTTGTCAACGGAACAAAGAAAACAGATGCCACAGTAGAAGGAAGCCAACAACAAGCACCTTCTGGTGACACCAAGAAAAAAGAGACTGGCATGGGGGTGGAGATGTCATCTGTGCAGCGAATCGAAGAATTGTTTAAGAGATACAAGGATGAACGAGAAGATGTCATATTAGAAGAAGGCATGGAAAGATTTTGCAATGATCTGTGTGTGGATCCTACAGAATTTAAAGTGTTAGTTCTGGCTTGGAAGTTTCAGGCCGCCACTATGTGCAAGTTTACCAGGTCAGTCTTCCTACTGGTGGTTTCTGTCTGCGTTGTCACAGTATTATATCCAGGTTTTCCCTCTTTAGTGGGCAACATGGCATCTGCCTAAAGAACCATCATCAAATGGCATTTTCCTCAACTTTGTTCCTCATCAACTAGGAATAATAGCTAGTGTAAGGGATGGGGCAGAGGTTTAGTTTGGGGGAAGGGGAGAAAAGAATAAACGGCTACTCTGATCATCATATCCACTTCGGGCCTCTGTAGTGGTTATGATGCCAGAGGTAGCCTGGCCCGGTTTTCTGGTAATGGGGCAAACCGTTTAGCACCGGTTTGCCCCCTTACCTGGCTCCCTGTCGGGCTCCGAGACTCCCTGGTGGTATGGTGATGTGCTTCTGGTTCTGCAAAACCCTGGTATTGCCATTCATAGACTGAGAGCTTCAGCTGACCGCTCTCAGCCAGTCACTGACATTCTGTGCAATGAAAGTGGCACACAATTGACATTAACCAGGGTTAAACACTGCATGTGCAGCATTTTATAACAAAACAATGCACATACAGACTCCAGGCACTATGACCACTTCAAATCCCTGAAATAGTGATGGTCCTTAAAGTAACCCTTTAAAGGAACTCTCAATTTTTTTCATTTTTTCCCTCCAATGCTTAACTTGCTTGTATTATTTCCTCCATGTTTGGCTGTGTGTTGCTTTTGCCAGCACTATCCTGTTCCCCTATTTTTCTGCACAGGCTAAAGATTGAAAAGCCTGTTTGCTGAAGCCGAGCTTTCCATTGCTTTTCAGTGCGCTGTTGTACAGTTATAAAAGTACTGATAGATATTGAAATCAGCACTTTTATACATTGTTGAAAATGTTTCAGCAAGGCTTTGTCACTTCGACACTGACGCATATAGAAGGCTTATAAATAAACTGCAATCTTTAAGTTTGTATTCCAATATTGTTGAACCGGTAAGGCAGTGACTGAGTCACAGGCAACCGAGGGTTGTAGTCAGTGGAGTATATTCAAAGCATGGGCTTATCAGTGGGGTACCTCAGGGATCTGTACTTGGACCCATCCTCTTTAACATTTTTATTAATGATATTGCAGAAATTTAATTCAAATATATGTAACAGGGTTGATGTTCCAGGAGGTACAAGCCAAATGGTAAATGATTTAGGTAAACTAGAAAAATGGTCAGAGTTGTGGCAACTGACATTTAATGTCCGATAACTGACGTTGCATTAACAGACGTTTAATGCAAGATAATGCATCTTGGATGTAAAAACCCAAGGGCAGAGTACAGAATATTTGATCGAGTCCTAACCTCAACATCTGAGGAAAGTGATTTAGGGGTGATTATTTCTGATGACTTAAAGGTAGGCAGACAATGTAATAGAGCAGCAGGAAATGCTAGCAGAATGCTTGGTTGTTTAGGGAGAGGTATTAGGAGTAGAAAGAGGGAAGTGCTCATGCCATTGTACAGAACACTGGTGAGACCTCACTTGGAGTATTGTGCACAGTACTGGAGACCGTATCTCCATAAGGATATTAATACTTTTGAGAAAGTTCAGAGAAGGGCCTCTGAACGGGTTCATGAATTGCAGGATAAAACTTAAAAGGAAAGGTTAAAGGAACTTAACATGTATAGCTTGGAGGAAAGACGAGACAGGGGGATATGATAGAAACATTTAAATACATAAAAGGAATCAACACAGTAAAGGAGGAAACTATATTTAAATGAAGAAATTCTACCACAACAAGGAGGACACAGTCTTAAATTAGAGGGACAAAGGCTTAAAAATAACATCAGGAAGTAGTATTTTACTGAGAGGGTAGTGGATGAATGGAATAGCTTTCCAGCTGAAGTGGTAGAGGTTAACACAGTAAAGGAGTTTAAGCATGCGTGGGATAGGCATAATGCTATCCTAACTATAAGATAAGGCCGGGGACTAATGAAAATTGGGCAGACTAGATGGGCCAAATAGTTCTTATCTGCCGTCACATTCTATGTTTCTATGGGTCCCCATATATATGATTATTCAATTACTGATCAGGTGCGGTACGTCCTTCAAGTGATCGTGAGTACATGGATAATGTTTATTATTATTTCTACTTTTTCTACTTTTCTGCTCAAATTGTAATTCTTCAGAGGCATATTTCACATTAAAGCACAGCCTGGAGCAGTGTACATTATCTATTTCAGCAAAATGTTTCGTGTTATCAATATGGTGGATTTAGGAATTATCCCCTTAGCCTTTCTTAACATACCGTTCTATAGCTTTAATGTTCAGAAACAAGAATGTTGTAAAACTATACTGTGTGTATTTTCATTTGTGAGTTGCTACTGTATGTCTCTTACCTTGAAATGCAAAATCCTTTTTTTTTTTTTCTTTTCTTAAATGTTTGGCAGCCATTCTGGAAGTGGCATACTAAATACCAAAGGTGCAAAAGTGCATCAGACCAAAAAAATCCTATTTGGCTCTGCAAGGTGGCAAGAAACCTTCAGTTATATGGAATGCATGTGTTCCTACAATAAGCTAATGTTCTCAGCCTAAGAGTTGAGTCCTCCACTGCAGCGCTTAGCTCAAGTAAGCGAACGCAGGGCTTGACACATTTGTTTGGAATCTAGGAGCCTGCTAAAAAAATTAGGAGTTAGTGTTTTTAAAACTAGCAAAATTTAATTGAGTAGAAATATACAGTTCCTAAAGGGATAGTATAGTCACCAGAAGCACTACAGCTTAATGTAGTTACTCTGGTGCCTATGGACTGTCCCTGTAGCCTTTTCAATGTAAACGTTGCCTTTTCAGAGAAAAGGTAGTGTTTACATTGCTGCCTAGTAACACCTCTAGTGACAGTCACTCAGACAACCACTAGAGAGTCCTGTGTCCGTGCTGCACAGTGTGCAGCACATTTGTCCAGTGTCTCCATGCTCTGCATGGAGCTGCTGAATGTTACCCATAGAGTTACCCATAGAGCTAATCCAGGACTTAGGGTCTACCCTGTTGTGTCTAAGGTGGTTTTAGAAAAAAAAAAAAAAAACCTTGGACACAACTGGGTAATCTCTAAATGCTGGAGTGTTAGGGGGCACTTGAATACTGGGTTAGGAACCACTGGTATAGGGAATCAAAAAAATTCCCCTCTCTGTCTTATTAGAGATTGTGCCTTTTTGCCTCAAAGCAGCAAGGTGAATTGTTGGTGTAGGACTTGCTAAAGAGGTTTTGCCTTGATGTGGCAGGTGAACTTACAATCTAATGGCCATTGGAGTGATACTAAAAACCTCCAGTTAACTAAATGTGCATTTGGATTTTGGAACGTGTGCAGGTAACAAAAAAAAAATGCTACTGGGTCTTGTACTCATTTTTTACTGCTGAAGATGTATCACGCTGGTCGGTGCATTTCCATTTGGTAAATACAGTACTATTCACAATTTTTTCTTTTTTTTTTCTTTTCCAGGAAGGAGTTTTTCGATGGCTGCAAAGCCATCAATGCAGATAGCATTGAGGGGATTTGTAACAGGTTCCCTAGCCTGCTAAATGACGCTAAACAGGAGGACAAATTTAAGGATCTATACCGCTTCACCTTTCAGTTTGGCCTGGACTCCGAAGAAGGTCAGAGGTCTCTTCACCGGGAAATAGCCATCGCCCTGTGGAGACTAGTGTTCACTCAAAACAAACCCCTCATTTTGGACCAGTGGTTAGATTTCCTAATCGAGAACCCCTCAGGAATCAAGGGAATCTCCCGGGACACATGGAACATGTTCCTAAACTTTACTCAGGTGATTGGACCAGACCTTAGCAATTACAGTGAAGATGAGGCCTGGCCTAGTCTCTTCGACACCTTTGTGGAATGGGAAATCGAAAACCGGAGAAAGGAGAAGGAAACCAAATGTATTACATTTTCAGGCACAGACGATCTGAGTATAGACAAACAAACTTAGCAACTTGCAAACCGCAAAAAAAAAAAAAAAAAATGCATTCTGGCCACCTTCATTAAATGTAAACTCTGAACCTTTTCTGGAAATTTAATGAAGAACTCATAATTTTTTTTTTCTTTGTTTTCTTAATACACCTTTTTCTGCCTTCTATTTGAAAGGGCTCTAAATGCTGATAACATATTTCAGGCACTTTCTTACCATTTGGTTGGTTCTTTCTAACTATATTATATTTGTTTTTTAAAATATGGAATTCCTCTTAAGGTGCCAGAAAGTGTTTTCATCTTTATATTTCAGGTTTGCCTGGCACTAACAAACACAACAAGGCGCTTGGAATGGGGGGGAGGGGTCTGGGTTTAATGACCCACGGGAGAATTTTATTTAATTTAACCTTGTTGATGTCATTGGAATTTGCAAAGCAATGCATTGTGGGACCTCTGGGTAAAAAGTAGCGATGACCCGGCTCCTTAACACATCATGTGCCCTCTTTAAATTTTACCTTTTTTATGTTAAATTATTCACGGCTGGAGATTTTCATTAATACGCTAGTCTTTGACAACTAGAAAGAGTATAAAGTTCCATCGTTGTGTAACTTTTCTTCCACTCTTATTTACTGACCTTTGTTCCCCGACTAATGAACCTTTTGTGAGATTTTTCCAGCCTTGAACCCCCTTTGGTGCCAAAGGGGCTTGCAACAAAACTGTATGTCTGTCTATCTGGCATGTAAAGGTTTTAAAATATGCAGCCCTTAATGAGTGAGCCAGGGTCATGTTTTTTTATCCTGTGTTTCAGGGTAGTTCCTTACTGTGTGTAGTGCTGTTTACATTGTTGGGTTTTAAGATTTGTAATCGTTCAGTGGGGTTCAGAAGGGAACTCGTTTTTTCAGACGTTATATCAGAGCATTAAATGTATATATGTGCATTTAGTTACAACGTGCAAGACTCCTGCAAAAAGAAAAGGAAAAAAACCCTTGTTAAAAAAAAAAAAAAATAATCACGCTTTTCAAGTAAACCTGTAAAATAATATACCTTATCCTATTTGTGTAATGGAAATGAAGAACAACTGTCCCAGTTTATATTTTATTTTTGTACCCTTGAATCTTTCTGTGTACTTTTTCTTTTTCTTAATTAATTTAAATCCCACAAATACGGAACACAAAAGAAAACTAGCTTATTGGAATGTGTTTCAACAGGACCAGCTAATTTAACACAGGTTGTGTTACCTTTTACTTGCTAAACAACAGATAAATTGTAGTTTGTGTGGCTTAAAAAGAAAAAGAAAAAAAATTATATTTCTGCTTAACCCCTTCAGGACAGATGATATGTCTTAATTCACATTAAGAAGGGGTTTGCATAACCCTGGCCCTAAGGGGTTAAATAATTCTGTACTGTCGTTATATGAAGACACTAAAAGGCATAGCAAACTGTCACTGCAATGTTACCCCATTTTATTTGATTTTGCTAAGCCACTTTGTACTGTAATGGACCAGGAGTAAGGCAAATAAATATTCCATATTGTTAATTTCCTAGTCCGGCGGGGGGGGATATATATAGATAGATATATATATAAAATTTGTTTTAGTTAAAGCATTCATTCATTCATTTATACCCAAGTCCTTTGTACCAAGCTAATTAACTGAGCAAGCTAAGTGCTGTTGGACTGCAACTCATTCTAATCTTTCAGCCACTTGGCTTGGGCAGATAGGAGTAGTTGTCAAACAGACAAAGGATTGTAGGTGTATTTATTTAATTATTTTTTTATTTTTATTTTTTACTTTTTGTTATTCTTTGATTTCTTTCAAACACATCAACAAATTCCTAAAAAGCAGCACTACCTCAGTTTTCTGGTTTTATTTTCCTTGTTCCCATTGGTCAGGAGATAGGACTAAAAAAAAAAAAACCCCGTAATTCTCAGGGCTAATGAAGATTTAGGAGAACTACTTAGGATTGGAAAAAAACCTCTACATCAAATTGACTTGAAAGAAAACTGTGGCATCAAACACTGCTTTTGATTTCTGACTTGTATCCTATACAATAAAACAGAATGGTTTAAAATCATTTTACTAATGCACCCAAGTTTGGAGGAATTATTAAGGTGTTCCTTTCCAAATCAAATTATTTATTTTTTTCCCAACTCCGTCCGCACCCTTACAATACACAGCAAATGTTTAATTTATCTCTGTTTATATATACACGTATAAGTGGATTTCGTATACACTTCTAATGAATACATAACAGAAAATGTCTTATTTCTCATAAATGTGTTCTTTTTATTTTGCTATTTCTTGCATTATAGGGTTAAAAAGTACGTATACTAAAAGCATTATTGGAATGGATAGGCTCCCTTAATATCTATATCAAAGTACACTAGTTTGACTTCTGGGTCCCTACTGCACTAGTGGTCCAGCTTTTTTTCCCCCACGGCTCCCCCTCTGTATTAAAATATCTCCTCTTTGTACAGAATAAATTGGCTGCGGCCGGTAAAAGTCGTAATGGACAAAACTGATAAATGTAATAGAATGTCAACATTCGCTGTATCTGTAAAGAGGAGCCAGTCCGTGTGCACGTAGGGGACCTAGGTATCAAACCATTCAAAAGGCCTTGGCATAACTGCCAGCTTATCCACTTTTAGTGCGCTGTAGTGGTTCTAGTGCTTAAGTGTCCCTTAATTTAGTATTAAGGGTGCTAAACAGTTTAGTGTTTCTTCTTAAAATGTAGAAATACTTATTTTAATTTCTATCTTTGATGACTGCACAGGATTATAGGTAAGACTGCTCTCTAAGATTAAGGTGAAGCCTTCTTTTTGCCTCAAGAGGTCACAATCTAGGTGGAGCTAGCAAGGAAAGGATACTGTGTGGGTTTTTTTTTTTGTTTGTTTTTTTAAAGGGACTCCCTGGTTTATTCCCTCTCACTGACCTTTGCATATATATTAAAATGTGTGCAACGTTCAAAATCTCAATTTGTATTCTACTAGCCATCTAGTTACAAACATGCATTACAAATGTGCAAAACGCCAACAGGATAATTCACTAAAGTGAGAAGCCAAAGTAAATTTAAAGGAACACTATAGGGTCACGAACACAAACATGTATCCCTGAACCTATAGTGTTAAAACCACCATCTAGCCCTCCTTGCCCCCCTAAACACAGCAAAGTCTTACCTTTATTACAGTCTGTTGCTACTAGTTCTGCACCTGATCTGCCTGATTGGCTGATATCAGAAGTGTTTATATGAGCCAATCACAATACTTCCCCATAGGATTGGCTGAAACCATCAAGGAGGCAGATCAGGGGCAGTGCCAGCACAAGCCAAACACAGTCCTGGTCATTCAGCATCTCCTCATAGAGATACATTGAATTAATGCATATCTATGCGTAAAGTTCAGCGTTTCCATGCTGAGCGTGGAGACACTGAATATCCGTGCTGCACATTTTGCAGCACTGTCCCAGTTTAGCTTCTGTGACCTTAATTTTAAAGTCGGCAATGCTTTCAGTTAACTACATTGGCCTTAAACCTGAAATTCACTTTGAATTGTCAATTTAGTGAATAACCCAGCAGGAATTTGATTCCTGTTCTGGCTGCAACATGGTGTATAAGTGTGTGTATACAATGGTATATAGGTGTGTGAAGGTTCAATGTGTGTTTCTACGTGCAAGGTCATATATGTATGGAGAACCACAGTATAAACACAAAGTATATCTGGACCCATTTCCATCTGTAGTGTAGTGGTGATAGTCCCAATGTAACTTGTCAAACCGTTTTTGTACATTTGTCTTAGATCCATTTAAATTTACTGAGCAGGGCCGTGCAGAAGCAGACATAATCAGTGAGAGAATCAGCTGAGCACTTTAAGCAAATCAACTCAGTCATGTATCCACCACGATTAACAATATAGAGACATCCAACTTCTCATGCCAGAGCAGTCCAGATGCAGCGCCGGCTCCTGGGGGACCCAAGTAGGTTGTCACACTGTACTAGAACAGTTTGACAAATTACAATGTAATGGTGCAATAACACCCAGCATCCTTGCTTGGAGCGTTGCTTTAAGGGTGGATGAAGTACGTGTTTGCATACTTCAGACATATGTAAACAATCCTTAAAGATAAATGATTACGTTTCCTCCACTCTATCTACCATACTGACCATACAGCAAGTCTATATTTCAGAATTCTGACTCACGTTCTGTAGGCGATGAAACGTGTGTTTTAAGAAGATTATGGATGCAAATAAATAAAATAAATTTGCATGTCACTTATTCACTTCTTCCTGGGACCCTGTAGATAAGTAACAGACAATATTGGTTCTAATATTATTATTAATCGGAATTGCTTGTGTTTCCAATGCTTCTCACTTGTTGGGGGTGGGGTGGGGGGGGGAGCCATCAGTTGTGATATAGGAGCTTCCCAAAGGTTAAAGCATGCATATACACCATCCGTCAAAATATCTCCAGAATATTATTAGGGTCCCTGGGGAAACAATTCTTTTCAGGCTGATTTTTCTACCCAATTTAATGGCAAGGGGGAGTGCAGTGGTATGAGTAGCTTTTGTACATTCTGCAAAAACATGCATCTAACACCCTGCAAAAAATATATATTTAAGGCATCCTTTTCTTATGCACCTTGTATATTATTATACTCCCCTCTTTGCTTCTTTTTTTTTTTCTTCTGCAGTTTGTCCGTCTGTGGGATTCCTGACACTGGTGGATTGTTCATAAATTAGATTAGCAAATGAAAAAGAAACTCTGCCCATTGCCAAAATTTGCATACTTTTTCTATAATATGTAAATTCTAAAAAAAAGTTGGTTTTATTTGTAACATTTGTAATTTTTAATGGAAGGTGTAAACAGGGTCGGCGCTTCCTATAAGGCGAACTAGGCGCACTGCGCCCCCATAGCCAGCCTTTAAATGCAGCCGCCTACAAACACATTCCATAAGCAGACACATTAGAGCAATAACACATCCCTTACACACTCCACTCCCTGTGAACGAACTCATGGGTGGAACATGTAGGGGGCCTTATGGGCATACTCACAGTCAGGCCCTGGGGCCCAGACCTTGAGCTGTGTAAGGGACCCCAAAAAAGGAGCTGCTTCCCATTCTCCCAGAACATTGAATTTTGTGCCCACAGTTACAAACAGCCTCCAGAGATCCTGTTTTACACCAGATCAGTGGAGCCAAACTGCAGCCAGAGCCCATTACCATCCTCATCTGGTTGTAAGTAGGCAATCTAGTATTTTATTAGTGACACTAATTTCTAATTTACCTCCCATTAAAGGGACAATATAGTCCCCAGAACCACTGCAGTTTAATGAAGTGGTTCTGGTGTCTATAGCCTGTCCCTGCAGGGTTTTTAATGTAAACACACACTGTGTGCAGCACTGGCGTTAGTTCATATGGCAGATCATATGGGTGGGGCATTGTGATGTCACATGGGGGGGTGCAAAAATCCTTGCACCGGCCCTGGGTGTAAACACCTACTTTGCACAATTAGCAATCTCACAGTTCACTATAAGATTGTTTATGATCCATTTTGGTGCTCACAAAATAACCTTAATCATTACATAAAGAAAACCATAGAAAAATAGTATTGCTGCATACACTTGCGAGCGGTTATCATGACTAGCACCCAATGAAAAAGATAGTCCTTGCTGAATTGCAAAATATCAAGTGCAAATCCATTTTAAGTGTGTCTAAGAGAGTCAGTTTTAGGTGAGTATAATAACTTCATAAATACAGTGCTGGTAATTTCACCCTGCAGATGTATGGTTCAAAACATTCTTAAATGAAGTGTGATGCTTCTTTCGTGATGGACACAGCAAGATGGAAGCACCAACTTTTAAACAAGGAGGACTACATTATTTTGTATGTTTAACAAGTTTATAGATCCTTGAAATTGGCAGTATCTTCTCGTTTCAGATTGTGACAGCCATTGTTCTGTCACTGCCACGTTGCATTCTCACATATGGGGCAGATGGACATGCTTTGAAGGGGCTCCATGCTAATTCTCTAATATTGTGTGATAAATCGGTTACTTTCCTGAATTACTTTATCTACGACTTGACTAGTCCATTGTAGAGTGTCTGGCAACTGCATTCTTGGCCGTACTGACAGAATATATAGCGCACCAGATGGGAGAGGAGGCACGCCCCCCTTTCCTCAGTGTGGGTGATCCCATTCCACACTTTGGAGGTCCTATTGCTATACAAGGCCATATGGTGCTGTTATACAATTAAGTAGACACAGAGTCTCATCCAAAATGACGGACGCCACGTGCCCACTTGAATACTGAAGTGAGAAAGCTGAATGAGCACCTGTACCTTCTCAGCATGGGTAAAATGCCCACTTACCCCAGAGATTACTGCTGAAAAACCCAAGAGCAAGCAGGAGAATGGCAGAGGCAACCAGAACATCAAGAGACAAGAGGCTGCGCCACCAGGGAGACATTAGAACCACCACTAGGCCTACCTCAACACAATTGGATGCAGGCCCTCTTACTTACTGTGCAGACAGATGTATTGCAAGACTCCTCCTAGAATTACTAAAGAGATGTTCCACTTGGATCAGGCCAACATGACATTGAGGGGCCATGCAACACCGGGAGTACCTCCCAGTGTTATTATTTGCTTACATCATTTTCAAGCCAAGGAGGCCTCCTTGGTCCATCATTGTTAGGATTACCAACTTACTCATGATGATCTTCAAGTCTCCCTCTTCCAGAATCTGGCTACTACCACACTTGCCAAAAGATATGAATGAATTCCACTCTCAGATATTATTTGCTTTGGGATACCCTTATGGTTTTTTAGAAATGGAAGAAATTACTCTTTTAATCCCTACAGAAACAACTATTTTCTTGGCTCCCTGGGGATCCCAGTCTTGGATAGTTACACCTGTCCTACTCCACATGATTCACTACTACTTCTGTTAACTTATCTATGAACCTCGCCTGCTCTGGAGCTACTCAGTCTAACTAATGGACGTTCTGTTTTTTGTTGGAGTATATTTCCCTGATGTTTTAGGGGGTTGTACTAGTAACTTAATTTTTTGTTCCAGGGTGACCCTTCCTTTTTTATGTTTTCATTTTATTGCAAAAACACCTAAACCTCATGGAGTATATGACAATCATACCCTTTGTTAACATCAACCATGAACAAAGGGTATGATTTCTTTGCTCTATCAATCCCTTAAGAACATCGCAGCTGCTGGGGACCGGAACGGAAGGAAACCGGGTAGCTGCCTGCCGAGCCCCAGGTAAGTTGAAAACATCTCTGACAGCGTGGCTGCTATGTTTGAGTGCAGCCACGCCGGCATAAATGTCGGAAGCCGTGACACTCAAGGCTCAACCTTTCACAAATCTGTCTCTCTCAAGTTGACCCAAATGAAGGCAACAAAAAGACTCATTTGAAATTATTTCCAGTTGTGTCTGAAAAATCCTTTTTGACTGCATCGAAAATGTCATTAGCCTCTGTCACTACTTACTTTTGTCTTATATTTGCCTTCCTGGTCCTGTTCAGAGGTCACTTTAGGCCAATGGTTAACATCCCAGTCCTAAAGTCACACCAGCTTTTGGAGCAGCATTGAGATACACTTAAATTCTTGTTTGCTGGTGCCTTGAGGATTTGACCTTGGACCATTTTCTTAGGGTACACATCACATTAGCCCATTAGTTTGAGGATTTTAATGAATGATGACACAATATTGAAGAGGTGTGAGTGATTCATCTAATCTCATACAGCAGCGTTCTTCAAAAAGCAC